TGAAATTTATTCATTATTATTTATTTAATTTTCTATTCGTTTTGAAATATGTTAATTACAGCTCCTAATGGATTACTACGTTTGAACTAACTGAGAAAGAAACACAAATGTTTCTATGCGTTTTATAAATAAGGTACTGGTAAAATTTCCAAATAAATTATTATTTATTATTAATTATTATTGACAGTTCGATTAACCAATTCTTTTATATACATATATACCAGTATAACTTCATGCATGTAGATAAAGGTTTAACAATTGTCTATGACGCGGAAGAAAATAATTAAAATTCTTAATTTTTCTACATTGTACTATTTAAAACATATAAGTATGTTTTATGCAGATATTTCTATTTATTTTATTTTTTATATATATCTGAAGTAAAACTGAATCTACAAATAAATCATCATTTTTAAACTATTTGAGAAAGGAATTGTAAAGTTTTTCTGATGTTTAAAAATAAGATACATTTTAAAATTTTCAATAAGTGTTACTGCCGATTAAATTACTAAATTATTTAATGATGCGATCTGAATTTCCTACCTGACGAATCATAGAATACTTCGATCTCTCCTTACTTCGACTCTTCTTTTACAACGCAATGTCTTTTCGAGTTTGAGTGGCTTCGAGGGAAAGAATCGGTTTGGGGAGAAGAAAATTTGGGAAAAGGAGAAAATACAGGGTTGAAGTGTTCAAGGTTGAGGACTTGATGACTATGGACTCCTTCCCTGTATGGGTCTAGTACATAGCCCTGGAGCCAGGGCCCAAAAATCGATCTGATCGCAGGCGAAGGTTTGATTGTAAATTAAGAAAGTGTATGTTATTCTGATAAAAAGAACCTTGTCTGTCGTTCCAGAGCCTCTGCATTCAAAAATGGCGGCTGATTTAATGAATATTAGGCCAATAATTTGAGGATGGGAACGAGAAATCCATTGCGAAAAATGTGAGAAAAGTTTCTATTTTTTAACTTGTATATATCGGTTTAGACATGTAAAAAACAAAATTGCTAAAACGGGCCACCAAGAGAAAACTTTTTACAGCCAAAAAAGTCAGATGTTTTCGATATTTTTTGTGTTTTTCACCTATAACTCCTAAACAATGAATCAAAGCGAAAACTGTATTCTTTAATACATTAAATAACGTTAAATTTTGCGTCAAACGAGTACATAAACATTGAAATTTGGTAACGCGGTAAGGTATAAAACCACGGTCAACCAACGTTGAGTTTTACCAAATTTGTCAAAAACTGAGACAAATTACTATAAATGGCCCTGTAACTTGGAAATGAGTTCCCTAAGAGGAAAAACCCATATAATCGAAATTTGATGCTCTACAACTTTGAATCTATGAGTTTTTCCTCTTAGGGAACTCATTTCCAAGTTACTGGGCCATTCATAGTAATTTGTCTCAGTTTTTGGGACATTTAGTAAAACTCGGTGTTGGTTGACCGTGGTTTTATACCTTACCGCGTTACCAAATTTCAATGTTTATGTACTCGTTTGACGCAAAATTTAACGTTCTTTAATGTATTAAAGAATACATTTTTCGCTTTGATGCATTGTTTAGGAGTTATAGGTGAAAAACACAAATAATATCGAAAAAATCTGACTTTTTTGGCTGTAAAACGTTTTCCCTTGATGGCCTGCGTTAGCAATTTTGTTTTTTACATGTCTAAACCGATATATACAACTTAAAAAATAGGAAATTTTCTCACTTTTTTCGCAATGGATTTCTCGTTTCGATCCTCAAATTATTGGCATAATATTCTTTAAATCAGCCCCCATCTTTGAAAGCAGCGGCTCCGGTACGGCAGACAAGGTTTTTTTTACTTAGAGTAACTTACACTTTCGTAACTTACAATCGAACCTTCGCCTGCGATCTGGTCGATTTTTGGGCCCTGGCTCCAGGGCTAACAGAAAAGTCAGATTCGGATCCTTTAAATCATTCCACAAGAGCGAGGGATGAGATGGATTTTAGAGAATGGCTTGCTCGGTCCTCAAGAGGGCAGATAGTTTTATTGGCCAGAAAGAGTTTTATGTCGTCGAGTGACTTTTTTGTCTTAAAATATTCTCGAGTTACCTCCACAGATTATCACCCTTTGTGGTCCAGAGATACAGGACTTACGATTTAAGAATTTTGGTAGATTGAAAGATTAAAGAAGATATCAGAGAAGAAGAATGAATGAAATGTCAAGGCAATCATAGCACTTAAGAAAGAGGCTTTTTGACAAGATTACGATTTATTTCGAAAACTGAACATATTAGGTCTAAAACAAAGAGTCTGAAAGTTCCTTTGGAAATATAGCAGCTCTTGATTTCTCCCTACAAATCTTAAAAACACAATTTTCCGTTTTAATTGGTCGAATTTTGGAAAAATCTGAGATACGAAACCACTCAATTTTTCAATGACTTTATTGTAGTTGTAAGCTTTTACGTTTCAATTTGGTGTTAGTTGTGTTGATGTATTTTCGTTAAAATCGACTAATCTGAAGTGCCACTTTGTTTCATCGATTGCCACTTTTTCACAATGTTCTCGAAATGGTTTTAAATAAAATGATGATATCAATGCACAACCAAATAATAATTAATACCAATTAGGTCTTATTCTCGTTAGAATAGTCCGATAGAGCTGAAATGTCGAATTTTCCATTTAAAATACTTTAAATGTTAATTATCAGAAATAATTAAAGGTCTCTTTTTATCAATAATAATGAAAAATTGATAAGTATGAACTAAGAAAGAATTTCATAATTGACTAGAGAAAAAATGGGAAAGATATATTCAAAAAGATACAAGTGCGGCCAATATATCTTTAATTGGTTCCACACTTACCTATATCTCCAGGTCTACTACTACTTTTACTTTTACTGATTCTCACCTTTCTTCTACCTTTGAGCCAAATCTAACGAGCCGTTTCTGAAATAACGGCATATCTTATAAAATCCATTTGCGCGTGCCCAACCGGAAGTACTGTACAGAATTTAATAAAATCGATACAGCATCATAATTTTACCAAAGCCCTAATTTATTTTAACTGAGCCAAATCGAACGGACGAGCCGTTTCTGAATTATCGGCATATCTTAAAAAATACATTTGCGCGTAGGAATAGGAATACAAATGGAAGGACTATATAGAAATTTAATGAAATTGATATGGGACCATCTTGGCACCAACCTGCACAATTCCGTAAAAGCAGATAAACGTTAGTAGGGGATGTGCTCGTCACATCGATTTGACTACACGCAGACACCAAGGCGGGGTGCCCGACAACCTGGTAACCGAAATTCTGAATGATAACATAGTTACGAGTTCGCGTCCCGGTGCTGAAGGAGATTTTAATCTCTTGCATTAATCCCTGTCTCGGGAAAACTCCGTGTAGCCTCAAAGGCGAGAAAAAAAAGGCAGATACCTTGATGTCTGAAACGTAAAACGCGATAAGAAATGCTCGGTTCTGAACAAAATTTTTTTTTCCATTCCACACGAATACAAATCTTCCCTATTCTCGGCAGTGAGGAAGCAAAATAATATCCGACATAAACAGTCGAAGAAGGTAATTGAGAGTTGGGAAAAGCTAAAAGTCTCTCCTAATCCGCAATCTTGAGGGGCGCTTCATGGCAGGCAAGTTCCCTGAGGGCGTTTAATATCTCTTCGAAATTAAACTATCTTTGCTAATTTAGATACTCCTTTGGGAGGTCAAGAAAATTAAGCGAATATTTTTAAATCCACAGAAGCGTGACTCTAAAATTCGTTGAATGAGATTGCATCTAATATTCCTGAAAATTACTTATCTTTAGTTAGTTTTTGCTGGTATATAATAGGAAATTTGCCGTAGATCCCGAAAATGGTAAAACAAGTCGTGATCCTAAAGTTATTAGAAAAATTAGGATCTATATGGAAATAATTTTTAAACCATATTAGAAGATGCAGTTAGTAGCCCAGTACTATTTTTTTTAGAGACTATCCTTTCCTCCTAGTAGAGCTGGAAAGGGTGGAGGGCAAAAGGCTCTTGCCCTGAGCTGCAAATTTCAAGTGAAACTGTATTTTTGTAGCCTTAGACAAAAAATATTATTTCATGCTCTTGGTCTTAATTCAGTCAATAAAATTTTATTTCGAAATAAAATATTTTTATAGAAAGAAGGGGCGGCAAAATTAAGCTTATTTTTTTCTTTTCTTTTAAACAGGCCTTCAAAGATCACTTACACAACATTTTAAGTTATTAAAGTTTCTTTCTCTTTTTTCCATAGTAAATACCAGTACAAAAAAAAAAATACACTACTAGCTAAATTTGCATGTAATTACCTACAAAAACTAAAATTTTCGAGTTACTTTATATTCACTAAAGGCTGATTTATTAATGTATGAACAATTACTTCAGTTCATTTAAAACAAGAGAAAGTGGTGCGGAAACTGAACATAATTTCACAAATGATGTTGAGGTAGGGCATGGTTGTTAAAAATGCTGTTTATACTGACAGAACAGTTGATAACTATATTCTGAACTCCATAAACCTGAATGTTATAAATCTAAAAGAAAAAACTTCAATAATTTGAGAATACAATGCATTTAAAATTTCCTTTTAATTATATCTAACAGGAAATAATTAAAATGGGTTTGTGAAATTAATGATGGAGAAGTGGAAGTTTTGAACTTATTTTATACAAATTCTCAAAATTTTTCATTTGAACTTAATAGCTTGAATCTAATGTAAAAACTATATCTATAATTGGGTATAATTATTTTTACTAGTGATGGACATCCTCTAATAATTTTTTCACAAAACCTCCCCTTACCCAAAAGTTGATATGATGAATATTCAAAAACAGCTTTACCAAATAATTTAGTAATGTAAAAACATATCCTAATCAAATTTACAATATAAATAAATATGATCACTAATTTGTATACAAAAATACTTACTTTATTTAAAAAATACATTAAATTAAATATATATCTATTGCAAGAATGATTTAATTAAAATTTAAAGTATCATAAGAAATACCTGAATATGCATGACAGAAGAATAGTGAAACAAAAATCCACTGAACTACACACCTAAAGTGAAAAATCATTTCTAAAAAGCGAATTCTTATTAGGTTGGTAGAGCAGTCGAAAATGAGAATTGTGATGTAACTTAAAACAAGAATTAGTGATAACTGAGAGATAAGATGAAAGCTGTGGGTATTCCCAGCAGATCCTGTTCTGGAGGATATCCCCTACTACCAAGTGAGCCAGGGCCTATAGAAAGTTATGGTCTCATTCTCATTTGGGTAAAAGTAGGTGGGGATCCTCAATCACAAACAATTCAATTGTAGTCACCATTGTATAGCAATTTTATAGTTCTAAGAATACATGTATGGAAACATTTTAGTACTATGTCTGTTAGCAAAAGATAAAATGTGAAAATTAGAAAAGGATTCACTAACAACCGAAACAAAATGAACTGATGAAGATTGTTTAATTTAACTAAAATATCAACATACTAGATTTATATTACCAGTCAGTTCACCAGATTTTGAATTTAATAAATAAATATTAGAGAGTGCTACCACTGGGTAGTATCTCTTCAAGCATGTACATGCCATTATTTATATTTGCGCATATTTACTAGTTGTATTTGTATACAGTTGTAAATTTCATTAAATAAACAAAAAAAAAAAATAAAATAAAATAATGAACAAATTATATTGAAGTCTACATTTCGATATTTATTACTTAAAGTTAATTTTTGTTTAGTAAAAAGTATGATTGGTTATTATAGTACTTGGAAAATTAAAAATATAACACATACAAAAAAAAATTATTTCATAGCAGCAACTAATGTACTTTAACTCAATAAATTATATTAAAATCAATAAACTAAGTTATTTAGATCTTTAAACAATTATCACATAAATTCCTTATACATAAAATCAACATTTGACCAGTATTTTATAGATAGAATGATTGTAATGAAAAAGTTTTTTTTTAATTCATAATTTTATTATCTGATCTCAAAATATTAATATTACTAAACGTGGAAACCATAGGAAGTTGATGGAAACTAAAGTTTTCAAATAAATTCAAATTTAGCTCAAAGTCAAAAACACATTTGGGTGAGGGTGATTATACTTTCTTTTTAAACAAGTTAGCATAAACATGGTAAACATAACTAACAAGTTGGTTTAATGTGTTCTATTAAAAGTTAACAATTACAAAATGATATGTGGCTTGGTTGATGGTTAATTCTGGTAATAAAGCTTGGTTGTAGATTGAAAATTGTAGAATGACCACTTTTGGTACAATGTATAATCTTTGTCATTTTGTGAGTTGATAGGTTTCTGCATAATGCTACTCAATTGGTATAGGTAAGAATAGTGTATTATAAAATATCGATTTATAAAAATCTTGTAATTTAATCTGTATGTACATTTTATATTTACAATAGAAAATATTACAAAGAAATAACGCTGCTCTTTTTTACAGTTATTTCATATAAAATTACAATATATACAAAATTCGGAAACCGCCAATTACATGATTTGTTCCTTTCCATAAAATATTTCATAGCAATTTCATCATTATTACAAGACCATGTGGGACTTCAAAAAAAATGTTATTAATATTACATTCATGATGTCCTTGTTATTTTTTGAAAGGAAAGAGTTGAGAAAACAGGCTTCCGAGATCAATAACTGAGTATTTGTTCTGTTTCAAAACTTCTCCTACTTGATCGTACAACCTTTTGTATGCATCAATTATCTCAGGTTCTATTTTAACAGAGTTAATAACATCCCTGCTTAGGTCAAATAAATACTGAAAATATGTCAATTGCGTGTACAGACTCAAGTTAGATACCTGAAACAAAATATTTAGACATTGTATGAAGTTATAAAGGCATATCAAAAAATAAATAAATAAATAAAACTAAACTAGAAAACTCACCTCCCTCCTCATCGTGCTTCGGTAACATTTGTTACACTCTGGGAAACCTTTAGAAAAAATGGGATTGATTATTCTTTTCCTATTTTGACAAACTGGATCTTCACATATCAACCAGCCCTAGAAATGAAGAACTATTATTGTAACTAGTATAGATAGATCTATATTTAAAGAAATATGTATGTGTATGTATGCGATAGAACTAAACTCTTAAAGAGAAAAAATTCAAAAAGGAACATAAATTAATTTTTTGAATGTAACGAACAGAATATATATTTAACCGACTTGAGTATGTTTTGGAGTAATCTAATTTCCAGTCGATGAATCTTTTTTGGAATTCTGAAATGAGATGTGTAGTGTTTGGTGGCATACATACTTTGACAGGCAAATTATTTATCAGCATTTTTAGACTAAAGGCTATATTTTTTGAGTCTTTAAAATAATGTAAATCAATCAACTTTTCATTAGGTAAATTTTTTTTATTTCTTTTTTGTAAGTATGTTGGAAAGTACAAAGAAAATTAAATTATGGCAGTAAATAAATTGTATCCATCAATCAATTGATAATTGTTATATTTTAAAAATATCTGTGAAAATTAATTCGAATTAATCCAATAGTCAGTTAGAATAGTTGTTCTTGAGTATCAAATAGTAATGGACAATGTTAAACTAGTACTTCCCAGATTTTAGCTTCAATGATACTGAAATGAAATAAATAGATTGGACTTTTGTTTTATTAAAAAAAAAAAAAAAAATTGAAATGGCAACATAATTAAATCAGTGTGAACCTCAGATTTTTTTTTTAATGTCTATCACATGCTTATGTTTTATGATGCACCATAAACTAATTACAGCTATTGTGTCTAAAATTTTATCACAAGCTAGTCATCTAGTTCACTTCAGGAAAACTAAAAGATTGGACATGTCCAGCCAACAGTAATTTGTTTTATTGATATAAACATTAAAAATATAGTAATATCAATAATTTCAAAAAAATTCTCTGTATGAAAACCAGGAAGTGAGAAAGGCCAAAGTTGAACTGGTAGAAAAATACAGAACCGAACCTGAGGACTCTTGGAGTCCATCAGAGAGGGAATTCTCTGCAGAGTTACATAAGAGAGAAAAATATATTTTATAAGTATGAAATGATTTAAAATCCAACTTTACCTCATAATACTTCTGAATGTGGTAACGAATCCTGAAATGAAGCTGATTTTGTATACTTGGTAAGTATTCCACAGGGAAAACTTTGCATTCTGGATTCGTACATTTTTCTAACATGAGTGAACCTTCAGCACCGTTTTCCTGTTTAAAATCATTATATAATTTAAATTATAATTGTTTCTTACAGATTCCTGAAATAGTCTAGATAATACTTACCAATTTATGTCGTAATCCTTCAACAGTGTTATCTATTTTACAGGTAGGATTTTTGCAAGTGAAAACAAACCTAAAAGGAGCAATATCCATTTGAAGATAAACATTTTAACATTAAAAATAAAATTAGTCTATAAACTAACAAAATATTTTAATAGTTAACATGGACACAATAAAAAAAAAAAAAAAACTAACAGAAATATTAAAATTCCAAGCATAAAACACTTGAATAATGTGAAGTGATTATAAGTTGTCTTTAGAGAAGAATTATTGGCGACTTATTGTGAAAACCAATAACTTCATAAAACTTATACAAGATAATAAAAGAATAAAATAATTTACACAGAATATAATGAAGTAAATGATAGTAATGCGAACCTTTCACAATCCTTGAATCTTTCTTCATTGGCTCTTCCTAACGTATATTTAGTAATTTCATCAGACTCTTCAGCAATAGTAGTCACACGTGCATATTTTGTTGGATCAAGACCTACAAACAAATATTTGCCACTAATTAATCATAAAAGCAATAGAAATGTATTGACTTCAATATCATAAGAAACTAATCTTTTATCTATAGATTTTTTTATCTTTTTATGATAAATGAATATAGGTACTTATCCAACAATTAACTATAAGAAAAATTATGGTTAACTGATTCTCAAAAGAAAATAATTCAACATACCTAGACATCTGGCCACACTGGCTGCATCAATTCCATCAATAGGGTCACAGAGGCGTGAAATCACAGGATGGATCTGTTGCTCGAGGTAATACAGCACATCGACTGAAAGATTATCTTGACTTTTTAATTCATCAACATGATAAGCTCTTTGAGCTGCAGAATTGTTTGTGCCATCCTAAAAAAATTGATATCATAACTGTAGAATAATGCTTAAGTTTTAATTTTAAAATTAAACATTGTATTAAAAAAAAAAAAAAAAAACCTGTACCACTACATCCCATGAAGAGTTTTGGGTTCAGTACTAGTTAAGGAAGGTATTGTTTCTTGGTCAACACTTGTACAAGGAGGTGATATGACGGAGATCATGCTCAACCGCCAGGTTTTCTTCTTAGTTAATTATTTAATTAAGTGTAACCACTTTATAGAGGCTGACTGTGTCACAGGAGGGTCCCCTAACCCCAGGGACAATCCAAAGCCGATAAAACGGAAATAAATTTATCTGTCTTAGCGTCAGTATAAGAAAGGATGCTAATCTGGGATTTTGAGAATTAGAAGCTTAGCATCCTACCACTCCCACAAGACATTCTTTAAAAAACGATAAAATTACAATGAAGGTTGATCAAGAAAAAAAAATCGTTCATCTCTGCATAAGATTAGATTTATCCAAACAATTGATAGTTTAGTAGTTATCAACTTTGACATCATTAAATATATAAATTAATATATCGCTACTGTTAGTGCAAAAGGTTGTATTTAACTTTTTTGTATGTTTAATTTCTTTGCGCTACAGGTTATGTTCTAAAGTCTGCAACTGATATAAGTAGTTTGCTAAATACAAAAATGGCAATGTGAAAAAGAATGTGAAATTATACTTATAAATTGTAAAGAAACAGTCGATTTTTTAAGCTCTTCTGTAAAAAACACTTTATACATAAGACCTTTTGCAATAACAGTAGCGCTATGAAGTAATATATATACATGAATTGATTTCTTATATTGAAAATATTAAAAACACGTACCTTACAAATGACATAGGAAACAGTATCGCCTTGCTTCAGGCGTTTAGCAGAATTTTTATTAAGCCTGAGGGCAACTTGGACGTGCGGAAGATTTTTAGCATCAGTATATTCTTCTGGTGGTTTAGTTAACTGCTTAGTAACTGTTAACAAGGTAACCGGCACCTTATTGGTCTCTAAATCAGAACGAATTTTTTCCAAATAGTTGTGAATTCCATCAATTCTATCATCACTTGATTTGTTTGATAATAATTCATTTAAAATATGCCTAAAACACAGGTAATATTTATTGAATAATACAAAAATTATTATTTACATTAGATCAAAGATTTATATTAATTATTATTTCATTAATATTAATACCTTCCAGCTGCAGCTGCTAGCTGAGACCAATCTCTTCTCACAATATCCAAACCTTTCATTTCTTGCTTTTCAACAAATTCACCATTTGGAAGCTTACTAATTGTTACAGCAGCATATTTCTTTTTTTTTAACAGAAGCATATATTTGAAAACTCCGTCAATGTCTAACTCAACTTGTTTGTAACATTTGTTTACTTCAAATTTCAACTAAAAAAACAAACAAAGATTTTCCTTTAAATATAAATGAATTCACAAATTAGTTTGATGACTAAACTAAGTTAATGCAAGTCATTATTTTTTCCACTTGCACAAAATAAAACAAATATTTGATAGATAGAAGAGAGGAAATCAGTACTGTCATATACTTCAAATTTTTTGTCAGTAAGAGATCCCTTTTCAACAGGAGTTGTCTGAGATGCATGTAGAGGATATATCTTTTATCAAATTGCTATTATGTTCTGGTAATTATTTGAGAAATGATTTGCAATAAATAGGCAATGTTGCTAATTGACACAAATGAGAATGTTCCAAATTATGAAATTTATAGTAATTGTGAATAAACCTTTTAGCAGCCCTGTACATTGGTTAATGATAAGTTTAAGCTGATGGTTTTTATTTCATGGGCTCCATATCATTCTTTAGTTAAATGTTAGAATAAGATACTGTACTATTTACTAATAAAAGTTAAAATTGGACCCAAGAGCAGTAACATAACAGAATCCATGGAATTCTGTAGTTCAACTCTGTAGATTGCTTGGACCTTAATGTCATTCAGTGTAGGGTTATTGAGAATCAGCCTCACAATTACACAATTACATGAAGAGTGGAGAGAAAAAAAGAATTATCATGGTATTGTGAATTTTAGGCTTTCATCCAAAACATAAAATCATCGTCCTTAGATTATCAGTACTTTAAAAATTTATAATTTTATAGTAAAAGATTTTTTTTTTTTAATGCAATTTATCATTTAGTTTAAAACAGTAGGGAAATATAAAACAGTTATTACCTTCTTACCAACTTGATGCACTTGCTCATAGTCTTTAGTTCTAGTATTAATCATTATTGAATCAGTATCTCCATAAATAACTTCGTAGCCAAAAGATTCCACCATTCTTTTGGTAGTTAAAAGTATTTCTCTACCTTTAGCTATTAAATTGAAAAATGGTTGATATATTAAAAGTAAAGACAAAAGCATGAATATTAAAAAAAAATTGATAACTGTCTATTAACCTGTAACAAGAGCAGCAAGGCCTTTTGCACAAAATCTTGAATGTGAAAATCCTAAGCAACCATACATACTGTTAGCAGTCAATTTCAAAGCCATTTGTCGAATATCATACTGGAAAATAAACACGTAAACAAATTAGAATAATAAAAAAAAAATATATTCAATTTATCCTAATTGAAGATAATTCAATAGAAGAAACAGGAATTAAACTGAATATGATATTTTTAAAAAATAATATAGTCATCCTTATTATACATTACTAATAATGATAATTTAGGGATAAAGAAACTTAAATATAGCAAACACTTAAAATAATAAATAATAATAGTTACATAACAAATAATCTATCATGATACCTGCATTTTCTGCTCAGGAGAAACAGCTGATTTCAGTAGCTTCTTTACATCCCTACGACTTTCAACTAACTTACGGATTTCAGTGGGTAATATTCCTGGTTCCACAGTTTCCTCAGGAAAATATTTTTGATAATTTTCATTAAAATCAGCATCCTGAAAAAACAAAACTTAAGTTCAATATGTATTAATTTAAAGTCAATAACTAGCTTAAAAATACAAGTGAATAAAAACTAATATTAAAAAATACTTATTTTTACAAATAACAAATAAAAACACCCTTATGTACCTACTTAAACTGAGAAGTGTGAATAATCCCTTAGTCCTCAACTTATCAGATAGACTAGGGATCTCCAAACTTTTTGGCCTGCGGCAGGAAGCCTCCACTCAAAGTTACACAGGCTATAGCTTATGTTAAAAAAAAAATTGCGTTCTATAAATGAGACTTCAGCTATGAAATAAGCTATCTAAGAGAAATAAAGCCATGCAACAAATCTTGTAGTAACCTCGTGTATGAGTAATTTGCTAAATTTCATATTTTTAAATATTTTATCATGTAATCAAAGAAGCTTTCGAGGGCAGGATCGAAGATGCTTAAGGATCGAATCTGGCCAGCAGGCGGTAGTTTGAAGATCCCTGAGATAGTCTGCTACAGTATATAGTGCATAGATCTGAAGCTTAGTCAATCCATCACAATAATTAAAGTCACTATTCGCTGACTGGATTCAAATTAGTCATATACCATCAATTTCCCGAGAACCTCCAAGGATTATTTCTATCCACATAACTATAGCCTTTTTTGAAATCGACAAATAAGCCATGCACATACATATCCTAAGCTACTTCCCACTGTTTTAAGATCAAATATCTGCATGCTTAACAGATATATTTATGATAAATTATAAAATTACAAAAAATAATGAGTAATTCATGTATTTGTGTTCTACTCTTATTTTTACGATTCTACGTTAATTATCTTAATATAAATTTTTAATAACTTGCTAGGCAATAAAAATTTCACTGTTATCCTGTTTTCTTGGGGTAAAATAGCCAGGTCTGATTTGTTCCAATTAAGCTGAGTACAACGAATTTTAATAATACAAAACTTATTAAGAGAAGAGAAATAAGGAAGACATGTTCTTGTATTGGCTCCGAGCTACAAGGTTCATGATACTAATTATTTAACAGATATAATTCAATTGAATTACTATTATTTTATAGTTAGATTCTATATATTACCATATCAATAGATGATGGAAGAATGGTTGTGAAACAGATATTGTATTCCTGAATTATACTAGGATACAATGAATTAAAATCCATAAGAAGAATCAAATCATCATAAAACCCAACTTTTGGATCAAGAACAAGACCCCCAGCATAAGATGGTTTTTTCCTTGAACCAGTAGTAACTTCTGCATTGCCATCTATATCGTCATCCTAGAAAAAAAATTACATACAAATAATAATAATAAATCAGAAATAACTTAAAGTCAAATGTTGAAAAAAAAAAAATACCTTGGCAGTCTTTTTGTATTCTTTATCTGGAACAATATATCCTTTGCTATGAAAAGCATGAAGTAACAAAAACTCATTTCTCTCAGAGCGACCACCCATCAATGTTCTAGACATGACATTACCTAAAATTAAATAAAAATAAGAGTTATTTGGGTTGTTAAATAAAAATGTCTTACATAAAATACATATATTAACTTCATAGATAGTATTCATTTATCTAAAACAAGATACTAATAATTAAAAAAACTAGTACCTGCAATATTAGTAATTTGTAGAGCCAAGGGAAGGGCATTAAGTTCAGTAAATATTCTCAATATATAAGAAGCATCTGTCATTATTGACCACAAAGCCTTCACTAAATTCTCTCCAGAACTGAAAAAAAATCCTGTAATATATTTTTTATCTTAAAAAACAACTATTTGCATAAGAATTTAGACATTAATATTACCATATTTAAACAAACAAGAAGTTTATTTATATGATTCATTTAACATTAAATGATAATGAGGTGTTAAATAAACAAAATAACATTATTATAAAGTGATAAATATATTTAATTATTTTTTGAGACTGTATGAAGCTATATACTATAGTTGGATTTGAGACGAAGTAATATAATTAAATCAAATTGCACCAGTTTACTAACATTTACTCAGCAGCAGTACAGTAGTCAAAGCATAGAATAACTTTTAAACTTTAAAGTACCATATTATTCAAGAAAACTTTTTTAAATAACAATTACTTGAACAATAAATTGCATAAAGACAGTAATAAATATAAGAATAAGTTTTCTAAGATAAAAAATAAAAAGTTTGCAATAAAACAAAATAAAAAATGAACTATTGGTTTTAACTATAAGAGTAATATATCACTCTGTATGACATAGGAATACTTAATGGCTACGCCTTTGTTAGGAGATGGAAAAACAATAAATTACCGGCACATACTAATATGGACTGAATGTTTCTTCATTACCTCACAGCTAAGACATAACTGTTGGAGGATCGGAACTGTATTTCATAAAGCAGTAAATAAGGTAAAATTTGATCCTTATCTTATTAAAATAAAATTGAATACAGATTTCAAAACAAAAAAAAAGATCCTATACTTACTAAAAGCAACTTTTAAACTCCTCATCAGTAAAATCTTGTCTTTTGTTTTCTTGAAAATGTAAAACCTATAAAATATATAAATAATTATAAGTATTCATAAATAGCAAAATAAGAGTAAATTAATGATAAATAAATACCAGCTGGCAGAGAGAATCCAAATCAAAACTACGAGCTCTAAGGAGTTCTTTACCGGTTACTTTGATATCACACATTAAGCGACCAGTAAGAGCAATTTTTTCAATTTGGTTTCTAGCCTATAAAATTTGTTTTAGTTATAGACAAGTATAGTTGAAAATGTTACGTAATTTTAAAATCATGAAGAAAATACAAACCTTAGTCGTTGGTATAACTGATCTTTTCAGACGACCTAGTCGTGACCAGTTGGGAACTTTGTGAAATGCCAACCTTTTCACTAGCAATTCTATTCCGTATCCTGAGAGATCATGGCCTACAATAATGTCGGGATCTATTCGATATAATTTTGTCAGAAGAAGATTCAGAAGTGCACGTTCTGATTCCATTCGTTCTAGAGATGTTTTCTTAAAATTGGATAGATGTTCTTTTATATCATATGGCCACGTAAGATCAGATGGCTTTGAAAAAACTGTTAAGATCAAATAGTAAGAGCCATTATAATGATAGGTAAATATATTTAAAAAAAAAATAATCTCACATTTTATTATTGAAGTTTAGAAAATATTAAAACAGAATCAGCAATTATTTTTAATTCTAGTTAAACTTTGTAGGGTATTGTAAGTAGTTCAACAGCAAACAAATGTGCAACTATTTGATCAAGAAATATATTTATTAATAAACATAATGCAAAGAAAGAAGTGGAGTCAGAATTAACAATGATTCTTCTTCCTTTTTAAGATTGGTTGATTCTATTTTTATATAAAATATTAATTAAACAAATATTTTATTTTAGGTAAATAAAAAATATAAATTAGTTCCAGATTTATTACTAAACAATAAATATAAATCGTAACTTTTCTGTGCATATCATATTTTTGGTTTACCAAGTTTAAAAAAAATTTAGTTTTCCAAATATTTTCTTATGTAATACTGTTTGATTTTTACGAAAACATTTATTTCTTATTCAATAATATATAAGCAGACATTACATAACAATAACAATTGAAAGTCTTCAACTTTTTATCACTGCAGTGCCTTCGATGACCTTATATGTTAGATATTCATTTTTAGCTTTCTAACAGTACTAAAAAAGGAGATGGTGCGGGGTGGTGGCAATAAATAGATTAAATAGTGGCAAAACTATTTAATTAAAGCCAATGTTTCGACCCGATTTTGCAGGTCTTCTTCAGAGATAGAATGGACAAGAAACAAAAAAATATAGAGAATTGTGGAAGTAACATAATATACATCTCTATATCTTTTTGTATCTTGTCCGTTCTAACTCTGAAGAAGACCTGCAAAGTCGGGTCGAAACATTGGCTTTTAATAAAAATAGTTTTCACACTATTTAGTCTATTTATGACTGCCACCCCGGACCATCTCCTTCCTCAATAATGCAACAGTCAACTATTAAATATTCAAATTTCTAACAGTACATCATACATCTTTATTAGCATTTTTATTTCCAGAAATTTGTTTTTAATCTGCATAACTATTCCACCCATTTTCTTCTAGTTTCCTATTCTCTTTCAATAAAGATAATATATACTCTAATAGTTTTCCATGAAATCCAAAAAATAATATGGAGGAGTGTAGGATTTACTTAACCACAACTTATAAAATATATAAACAGTCTATACAAAACAAAATATTTTAATCAGATGAGTCTTCTATATTGTACTTAGAATTTACCTTCAATTTTAATGATTGCATGATCAAACCTGAGAAAATGCAATTTGAAGGAAAATATATAATTCCATTCTAAATATGCAGTAAAAAAGGTCACACGTAATGAAATTTAATGCATTGAATATTAAATGAAAATATTTTTAGTTTTTAAAGTTTCATAGATCACTTAATATTATGCTTAAAAGTGCTACGAGTACAAAAATAACTCACCACAGAAATGTTGATTAAAAAGTTTTTCAGGAGGAGGTTTGTCAACAGGGTATGAGTTACTGACTAAGCAGCCTACAGCAACAATTTCTGTTTGTTTTGTTTTTGGATTATGGACAGCTTGTGGATGAAGAGTAACCAAAACTAATGGAGGAATGTGCGGCAAACCAGGTTTCAACACATGAACATCGCTGGCTTTCATACAGGATGCCTGAAAGATTAATTTTTGTTTATTGCAGGTAAGAAAAAGGAATAAATAAATAAATAAATATATATATGTAATCTGCCTAACAATTTTTATTATTTATTATAATATAGCCTTTATCAAGTGTAGTCGATTTAATGTTTTTAAAACATTAAAACAAATTAAAAATTTCAGTAATAATTTATTGGGGTCTTAAGGAAACAACAATTAACCAATGAGGGCATTTATAAAAACTGTGCATTATAGGGCTTTAAAAGGCAGTTACTTAATCCTAAAAATTAGTCCTAAGAGTTATTCTTTATTAATACATAAATATCAGAAATTATGAAAGTAGTTTTCGAAAATCGTACGAGTAGAAATGATAATTAATATTTTAAAACACTTCTTTGAAAACAATATTAGAAGCAATAATATATAAATTACAACAGGCTGTATCTGACAGGATTTCTCTGTTGTTGTTTTTTTCCCATTTTGTAGGGAATTTAGTAAATTTTCAAATAATAATGGGTCTCATCAAGAAAAAAAAAATGTATACTTTTTAACTAATTAGCAATTAAATTTTATTTTTATTCATAACTTTTTTTCCTGAAATTTCGGGATTATGTTACTATGATTTGCCACTGCTCCAATTAATACCCTTTCATTTGGTAAATACCCATTCATTCATCAAAATACATTACTCCTGAGAGCCGGGAAAGGGTCGTTAGGGCAAAAAACTATCGTATTATATTATAAAAATTATTGACCCTAAATATATTTCAGCTAATCTATTATTGCAAGATGTTATAAAGCACTGTATAAATGTTGTAACTTTAGAGTAATATGACAACTTTCTCTGACTCCTAGATTAATACATAAATAATAGCTATCTAAACATAAAAAAAACTATTTATAAATAAAAATATAAATTAAGCTACAAAAACATATAATAAAATTTAGAATAATTACCTCTACTTTGCACCAAGTAAATGGAGCTAGAACAGGTTCAGCATTTGTGATCTCAATCCAACTAGGACCTTTGATTCCTCTTTCCAACAGAAGAATTTCTAAAAATGATGTCTTGGTTCCAAATACGTGAGAAAAGGTTTCGCCTTTGAGATCACTGGGCAGTGCTGGAGAAGTACTCTATAAAAGGGAAACTTAAACTTATCACAACAAAAGAAAATAGAGATAAAATATTTAATAAAAATATTTTTAGATATTTGAAAATCAATGTATACAATATATATATATTGGCAAAAATTAAATAATTACTATCTGTTTAATTTTGTATTTATTTGACCGCACCCCCCGATTAACTCCATCTCATATTATATCAACGGTCAACCATCTCTACATCTTTAATAAAAATCATTAATTAGTTTAAAAATCCACAGATTTTTTAATATAGATACATATTTTTCAAATTTATATATATATATAACTTGATTAATAGCTACATTAAATTGGGAATTTATTTTTAGCTTTTGGTAAGAATACGTTACTTAATGTTTGATACAAAGAAACTAAAGAAGTTAAGGAATCAGCCAATTAATTTTCAGTGCAATTTCTTAATGTGTAATATTATGTTAATTATATTTCAGACAACGGTTGTAGCATAGAGACAACACTGGTTATGTGTAATATACATGCGATCTCATTTTAAAATATTCGAGTTTTGTAATTGTATGATTATAAAAAATATTGAATAAACTTTAAAATCAAAAATTGATTTATTATTATAAGAATCCTACAAATTGGCGAAGAGGATGGGATAGAAAGAAGGCCCTTTTATTACATTGTTGAGGTATGGATTTATGAGATATTTATGACTCCTTCCCAAAAGAAATAATAGAATCATTGGTGAAACTCACGGAGAAATCTACGACAGAACAATCTGAATATGATCAGGCAGTTTAGAAACTGTCTGTCGACAACTTAACCGAACATTTTGCTCCTAAGAAAAATATTGTTTATGAACGTTACCTTTTTAGAAACTTAAAACAGAAAAATTATGAAAATATTGAACAATGTTTGGTTCATTTGCGTGCACAGGCCATCAAATGAGAATTTGTTGATAAGGATGATCAGTTAAGAGATCAATTGATTTTCACCTACACCTGCAATTTCAAAAGCAGGCCCTAAGGAAAAGCAACATCACTCTCAAAGATGTCATTGACCTTGGGAAGTCACTGGAGGCCCTAGAGATGCATTCTCAGAATTTGAAAGGAGAAAAGTCAGTAAGTGAAGCTAACTTTGTCAATAAAGTTGGCCACAATAAATCCCACAAAGGCCGTAAGACTTTAAGTAAATATAATGATTCTATATGTTTTCGCTGCAATAAGAAAGGACATTTTGAAAATGATCCTGTTTTTCCTGGTTGGGACTCTACTAATTCAATATGTGGCAGGCATTTCCATTTAGCTGCAGCTTGCCGTTCAAAGTCAAATCATTCTGGAGGTTCAAAATGTAGAAATTTGAAAGATTTTGAAGATACAACGAATCACAAGAAATCTAATAGACATATAAAAGCAGTTAATTATAACGACGAACAAGAATCAACAACAACAACAACGAATCACAAGAAATCTAATAGACATATAAAAGCAGTTAATTATAACGATTGTCCATCCTCTAACATAAGTGATGCAAGTAGCACTGATAGCAGCTGGCAAGCTGGAGAATCCATACAGCAAATATTGCAGAAGATTATTCCACCAGTGAAAACACCCTGATTCATAGTAATATTGGAGGTATGGACCTGGTGATGAGAATAGATTATAGATTAGATTCTGGAGCTTCATAAATTACGTTTGGGTGAACAACAATTATTTGTTTATGGAGTTAAGTCAGCTCTTAACATTCTTGATAAGTTTAGATCAGTAATTGAGGTAGGTTCTAGATCAAAGTCCACCAACATTTACGTGATTGATGGAAATGGTGAGGCAATCCTAGGAAAGGCTGCAGCTGAGAAACTCGATGTTTTAAGGGTTGGTTTCCAAGTTCAAGCGGTGGCTTCTAGCACGTAAATGAGTTCCTTGAAGTTGATAAAGGTGCATATTGAGGTAGATCCTGAAAAAACTCCGGTTCATCTTCCATATTGGCGGCCACCTGTTGCTATCCACAAAAAGATTGAGGTTAAAATTTCTGACTTCCTCAAGGCAGGAATTATTGAACCAGCTGAAGGTCCCATAAGATGGTGTGCACAAATAGTTCCAATTATCAAAAGTACAGGAGATGTGCGGGTCACAGTCCATTATCAATGTTTAAATAAGGCAGTTCTGAGTATGAAACATCCAATACACCAACATTAGAGGATTGCTTATCAGAGCTGGATAATAGTAAAATATTTTCAAAAATCGACCTTAAGGATGTATTCTACCACCTTGAATTGGTTGAGTCAAGCCGATCTTTTACCACTTTTCAGGTGTCAATGGGCATGTACCAATTCAAGAGGTTTCCCCAAGGACTAACATCTTCACCTGAAATATTTGAGAAACATATTGATTCTGTGCTTTCTGGCTGCAAGGGTTGTTTTTTATTTGTGAATGACATCTTGGTACATGCTTCTACTAAGCAGGAACACAATGCTCCACTTAGATAAGGTTTTACTCTGAATGATAAGAAGTGCATATTGGGGTTCCTCGGACACCACATCACAGCAAATGGACTAAAGTTATCCGAAAATAAAGTCAAAGACATCCTGAAATTCCAAGGTCCTAGAGTAATAAGAGAGAGATCTGCAGCTTTCTGAGATTGGTTAATTTTGTTGGTCGTTTTATACCAAATCTATCAATATAATCCCCAAGATAGTGAAGAAGTCTTCAACTCTACTGAAGTACACTATAATCACCCAATGTTGCCAGAGTCCACTATGGTACTTCAATAGCAGATTTTACTTCATCAGAGGAGATCCAACCGTCATTTCAAGAACAGTTATCATTGTCAGGTATGAAGAAATACATTCTTAACTACTAACTACTGCTAATAAAAGCTTAATTACTTTTTTTTTAATAAATCAGAGAACTCAATAACCTCATCAATCATCTTGAAACCCTAACTAACAAATGACTCAATTCATAATGTATACTTGAACTGGATTAGATACCGAACCTTTCATAATGAAGTCAATGCAACAAAAGTGGTTAGACTAAAATAATACTTCTGATAAATTGGCAGTATCAATAAAGGGCTTACCGGATATCTTATTTCCAGATACTCAGACTCTGCAGGAACACTGTTATCACCAAAAGCATATTTCTTGGAAATTTTTCTTGATTTGAACTGCTTTATTTTATACTTTTCAGCTACAATTGAGCTGAATTCCTGATAAACATCAGTCATTGTCACAGGATCACCATATGTTTCATTTGTCTTGAGATTCATTTTCTGAAATGTTAAAATATATAGATAACAGTACCAATAATGAGAAAACCAAACCTTTTATTAATTAAAATTTAGAACATTAAAAAAAATATATGTATATATTGCTACTATTAGTGCATAAGGTCGTATGAAACAATTTTACATGTTTATTCTATATGTGCTAAAGGTAACATTTTGTAGTTTGCAACTGCTACAATGGAAAATAAAACATGAAATTATACTATTAACCATATAATTATACATAAAGTAATAATAAGTTTTTATACTCTTATGTGACTTTTTGTACCAACAGTAGTGATATTAATATTTCACAGATATGAAATATAGAAATAGAAACCTGCCTTTATCTAAAACTCTTTCCTTGCCAACTCCGTTACTTTCTGGAATCCTCTCTCTATAAAAATCTGGCATGCTCGATCATTATCCACCTTTAAAACCCCTCTATTCCAATTTCTATTTACAAAACAATCAGAAAATGGCCAACCACGTGTTAAGTTTCAGTGCTGTGTTTAAAAAAAAATCAATGTTTTCTACACACACACACATATATATATATATATATATATATTATATATATATATTTTTTTTTTCTTCTCAGGATCTTGTATACACATTTGTGTACTTCTGAACTTGTATACATATTTTTCATGCAATGTCGTTTCTGTTGTACATGATTTTCATGCTCCTAAATAAAGTTGCTTAATTTATTTATTTTCACACTATTTCTGTTATAAATGTTTTAATTTTTACTAAGATAAAACACATAAATCTTAATTTTTTTTATATTTTACTTATTTTATTTATTTTTAATAGGTGCTCATCTATTAAAGGAGTTTATTTAATATGTTTTTTTCTGTTTGTTAGTTCTTTTATATTTTTTTTAGCCAAGCAGCGATTACTTTGTTTCATTTATTATTTGTATATTATATAGTTCTAAATATTTTTTATGTAGTTCCATTAGTTAGATTTTGTAATTTTTTTTAGTTTATATAAGGTTTTCTATTTATGTAATGTAAGTTTTCTCATTTAATGTAGTTTTTTCTGGCCAGACGTATTTCTTTTGTTCAGTAACTTTCTCTTATTCCCTGAATAAAGTAATTTTTCTGTTTCTATTTCATATAAAATTTTCAGCTTTTAAATACAAAAAATATGAATATTTAAACTGTACAAAATGTTATTAAATATTAGATGGTTGGATGTATGATGATAAATTAAATTATACACGAAGCCTTATTTTATTCTTATTGGTGAGTGATTTCATTTACGACCGCCCAAACCAACTTCTCCAAGCATTCCATCTATATCCGACAATGTCTTACTCATTAAGACTTAATTATTAGTTTAGTAAGTTGCAAGAGAGAAATTTTATTAATTTTATTTTTAGAATAGATTTTTAAAATATATTAAGCAGATCTACATAGTTATTAGGAATAATAAAATCAATTTTACCCTTTCTCTTGGTAGGAGAAATATACGCCTTTCAATATTTTTTACAGAGACACAACAGCTTACATAAGTATTAGCTGATTCAATCAAAATCTTTCCAAAAAAAAATACAGTCCCTGGTTGTGAGTACATTTCCTCTGCGGCATCCCAATAGTAGAATCTTAAAACCTAAAAGTAAAATGGGGAAATTAGCCATTTAAAATCTTAACAGAAATATAAAATAGGACAAATTCATAAAAACAGTAAATTTAAACTGAAAATACGCTTATAGTAAAGAGGTTAATTTGATTTCATACCTCTAGACCACTATCATTTTTCACTAGTGGTAATTTAGATTTATCAACATTGATGTAAGTTGCTGGAGAATCAAATTCGATTTGCTTGTCCCAATCTTCACTGATTTCATCTTTTACAACTCTAAAAAAAAAAAAAAAAAATTTTAGTTTAATTAATAAACTATCAACAAATAAAAAAATTAATAATAATAAAACATACTCCATTTTAATAACTGGTGACACATCTTTTACTGGGGAAGCAGATTCTAATTTAATATCTCTAGAGCATACCTCTTCTTTAGAATCAGATATTTCAATAACTTCCTACATAAGATTGTTTGAAAAATTAAAACAATTTCATATTTGAAAATTTATAAAAACTAAGTTCATTAAATAACCTAATCTACTTAACATAGTAGATACTTAAAAAATTATAATAAATTACATGATCGAAGTCATCACTGAACATATCACAACTGTAATCTTGAATTTCATCGACATCTATTGGTTCCTCTTTTATCTTAATGGGAGAAGTATCAACTGGAATATCCTAAAAAATAATATAGCTTTTTTACTTGTAAAGATCTAAACCTGCCAAAGAAATGTAATATGAGCAGATTTATGAACTTACTGCCAACGTTTCTGGTGGGGTATCTTTAACCAAAGGAAGTGTCTTCTTAACTTCAGAACTTATTTTTGCATGCTTTACAGGTGATGGTTTCGTATTAGTTGTTTTAAAATTGGTTAAAGATTTCAAATAGTCCCTGAAAATACAATTGATAAGACTAAAACAAATATCTTAAAACAATAAATAAAATAACAGAAGCAATACAAAATTAGGGTTCAACACTATCTGTTACATAAACAGAGGTCATACTTCAAACAATTATTATGAAATATTTTTTACCTTCCTTAATAATTTATAGCTAAAAAATATTATAACTTTGATTGCAAATATAAAATAAAAAATGATAAAACATACTTTTCAGATATTTGAGGCTTTTTGTTGCTATTTTTCAATGGTGCGACTGATGTTGAATCTATTTCACCAATAATATCTCCAAGAATATCATCTTCTTCCAATTTAACAGATGTCTAAAAAATTAAGAAATAAAATACAAGAAATTCCTAAACTACTAATTTTATTAATAACTGTATACTTCAATGTTTTTTAGTTGTACAAAGCTATACCAACTCTTATCCATATAAAATTTTAATCTAAATTTACTTCTACAACATTTTTTTTTTTTTTTCACAGTAAGTCTAAACTCTAATAATCAATGGTATTTCGTTATAAAGAACATCTGTACAACATTTTATTATTCCATCTATAAATAAGTCACCATACATATAAGAAAATTGAATAAAGATATACTTTAAATATGACCAAACATGATAGCCCCAGTCCTTAGTTCAAATAAAATACAGGGGATAATAGTTGGAATGGTAGATGGAGTAATCAGAAGTCAATACGTCATGAATATATTTTAAAAATAAATAATTAAAATTAAAATTCTTTATGCAGGTAAACAATGCTTGTTGGTGAGATCACCTAATCATTGTCTAATAAGCCTTATTAGGCTGATGTCACAGAAAAAAAAACAAGGTAAAGTATTAATTAACAGCAATAATTTAAAAGTTCCTATCATGTAATTCAGGATAAACAAGAATCAATGATAAATCTTGCATTTACGAGGGGAGCTCAAAAAATTACTACAAGTAGTTGAAAGTAGAAAAATTAAATAACAAGTGAACACAATTCCAAGAAAAATTATAAGACGTTATAACTCGTGACGGCAAATATGGTATCCAAGTATTATGAACTAGGAGAGATGAGCTAGAACTCAAATTTACAGATACTCTCCTAGTGGAGATGTAGTTGACCATAGCCCAATTGTATAAAATGGTTAGATAATGTAATCATAGATGAGATAGAATAACAGATTATTTTTAAACACAACACTCATTATTTGTGTTTATTCACGCTTTAACCAACTTTTTTTTGTACAATTTAAAGGGATCATATGATGAATTTTAAGACCGAGGAAAGAACTACATGTAAATAAATTTGCCTAACAAAAGGTTTTTCCCAACTGCCACCATATTCACTTAATGTATCTTTGGGCATTTCATTTCCCTGATGCATATTTATATTTTTTCTCCTCTCTGCATATTAACTTTTGCATTTCTAATCTGTCATTTTCACTACGTGAACTGTTCTGCTCAGTCTTTCTAATTTAATAACTCTGATAATATTAGACTCATGGCTTCACAGGACTACTTTTTCTTTCTGCTTCTTCATAAATCTCTATCCTTGACAGGACCAAAATTTCATCTTAGGGCCTATCACTCAAAGATTATATTAAATTATAAGTAGATTATTTTGTTTAAGACTGGCTGTAGGAGTTTATAAAGTTTTATCGTGTGTTTCTCGTGAGTCTGTCCCATATATGCTTCAGCAGGTAAAAATGATATCTATTACTGGTCGCAACACGTTGTTTGATGTGGTTTGTTTACAGATTTTACATGAGCTATGAGATAGTTGAATTCAGATACTCTCCTGAGTAGAATGGATAAATGCGAAGCAAAACAAAATATACACAAGATGTTACAACTGATGGAGTGAACAACAGTAAGATCTATTAAGCAGGCAAAAGAAAACTTGGTGCGTTAGTTTCATAATTAAATGAGGAAACAAAGATTTAATACTTCAGCTGAGATTCAGTTTAGAAAGAACTGAACTTTTTGAATAATAGACATGTAACATCATTATTAAACCAAACATTTAGTTGGATTAATTGTATTTATTGACATAGAGAGGAACCTTAAATGAAATATAATATATTCAGATCTCCAGAATGTCAATATTCTTAATTCAGAGGTATAAACTCATCATTAATAATATTTTTAAAATTACATTACTAAATGTAAATATACCTCTTTTTTCTTCTTCTTAGAAGGCATTTTTGCAAGCATATTTCGAATGTTCCCTTTTTTTTCAGGAGCAATATCTCTACCTCTTTTTCTGCCAGTAACAATATTTTGCGACTTTTTAATTGATTCTTCATCCAAATCATCATCAAATATTTCTCTTCCATCTTCCACATATCCACAACCACCTGAAAGTTATGCTAAATTAAACACAGTGGAAAAATAAATTGAAAATTCTAATCATAATAAATTAAAAATAAATATTTACCATCATCAACAATCCAATCATCATCTTGTCTTTCTAGAACTTTGCGTGTATATTCTTTCTCATCAACTTCTTCATAAACATTTTCAAGTTCTCCAATATCATATTTATTTTTCTTACCACTTTTAAGTTTTTCAAGTAGTTCAAGTTTTTTCTGTTTTCCAGATAAACTTCTTTTCGGACGGGCTAATAAAGCAAAAAGTAGTATTGTTATATTGATATCCTAATGTTTAAACAATTAAATACAAATACTTAGGTGTTTGCGATGCTATTAAATTACCTCTATGGTTTTCACTATCTTCAGACATTTCAAATTAATATTCGAATAAAATTAGACACACAAATGTTAAAAACAAAAACAAAAATTATTACAAAAATAACAAGAAACAAACCAGACCATTACAAGCGCGCGAAAATATAGATTTTGGCGGGTTTAAAATAAATCGATATATCTAATTTATACCAAGGAGCAAATATTGATTAGTTTGTTGCAAAGCGATACTAAGTACGTCTATAAAATTCTTCATGATCATCACAGATGTAAGTTAAATAGGGCGTACTTTAAATTGACGTACTTATGTTGTAATTTTAAATTAATTTTTGTTTTGGTAAAAATTTATCTAGTTACATTTATTTATTTTTTTATTAGTGTTAGTATTCTCAGGCCTGCAAACCATCATCATATAAGGTTATTCATGATTGGCATAATTAAACATTTTTAGTTAACTTGTGTTGAATATCTTGAATTAATATGTAATGTAATTAGAGCAAGAATAGGTTATCTTAAAAAATACAAGCCATTGAGGAAGTCATAATTTATCCTGTCAGTCAACCACGAAATATCTTACTGTCAATTCTGAAAAACGGGTTCGAACCAGTGGCACTTCTGATTCGAAAATCCTGAGAAGCTTCTTAAACACACCTAGCAACCACGGCCTGTAGTTAATATTTTTTGAAATTATAACTGTTTTAGGTGGCCCACTGCTCTAGTATTTGAGCTCACTGTTATTGCGCGTGTGTTGTGTTGACTAAAAGGTTATCAGAAATGATGATGATTATTTTAAGTCCTCCGAATCTGCTCGTGCCAGATAAAGGTCTTCCAGTCGACCATTAGGGCAGCTATTTGACGAGATACTGTGTCGATGACCTGCCTTAATTCATGATTCCGTATGTGCCGAAAAATATTAAGCAAATTATCTCACCAGTCAATCAAAACGATTTACTTTGGGGGAGAGGGGTTGTGAACCTAGGAATTCTTCTATCTATCGGTTACTTTCAGGCTACTTCATTCGGAGTCAGACACAGTGTCTTTTCAACGCGTGATACATAGCCCTTCCAGCTGGCCTTGAGGAAACTATGTATATGATTGTCATCCGTGGATGCTACTTGGTTCGGAATAATTCAATATGGGAGGTCTCTTTAATCAGGATGATGATGCCTTGAGAATTCCGAGGGAAAAATAGCTAATTTTAAATTTTATTATTTAATTTTCGGTGGCAATATTCACAACAAGTAAAAACTGGTTTTTAATTTGGATCACGGGCGGGGCTTTCGGGCTGAAGCCCCCCCCCCCCAAATTGGTAAAATATAACCATGTTTTATCGGAAAAAATACTAAAAACTTATCTCTTAAAGTATAATTATTCGTGATGGGGTTTTTTAAAAGGGATGTGGTTGATAGGTTTATAATGTAGGTGTGGTTATGTGGGGAGTTTAGTTTTGTAATTAGGTTGTTTAGTTGTAGTGTTTTTGGTTTTTATATGGAAGGTAGGAGGTTGCAAGAAAAATTTTTTATATAATGGATAAGATTGGGTTTTGGTTAAATTATAAAGTTGTTTGGGGAGGTGGAGAGATTGTGGTTGGGGGAAATATGTATGGGTGAGTATAGATATTGATATGTTGAGTTGAAGGATGTGGGGATTGGTTTTTGGTGATGATGTAAGTGGGGTTGGGGGGATTGTGAAAGTGTGGATTTAGAAAGGTATAGATAATATAGGGGAAAGTATTAATGTAGTAAGTTGTTTTTTGTTTAATGTTTAGTTTTATAAGATAGGAAAAAGGGGTTTTATATTATAGGGTTGAAGTTTTTGAAAGGGTTGGTGTGTTATTTTTTTTGTGATTAAGTGGAAAGAATTTGGGATATTATGAATGGTGTTTGGGTATAGGTTGGTTGTTTTGTGTTGGTTGGGTGGTTTGTGGGGTTTTGTGTGATTAAGATAAGTGAAAGTAATAGGGGAATGGGTTTATGGTTAGGAAGTTGGTTGTGTATGTTAAAATTATAAAGTAATGTAGGTGTGTGGTGGTATGGGGTGTTGGGGTTTAAGTATTTATTGATTGTTTAATTATTTATTTTTATGTTGTGTGTTGTATTGGTTGTATTTGGAGGTTTTATTTTTAAATATTTTTTATTTTGGTTGTAGTGGATGTGGAGTGTTTGGGTTGAGTTTGTGGGGGTTGATTAATTAGTGAGGTTTATTATTGGATGGTGGAATGGTTAAGGGTGATGATTGGATTTGGTTGTGTTTTGATGGGATGTGGGGTTTAGGTGAAAATTTAGTGGGTATTTTGTGGTGATTGATTTTGATAAGTAAGGTTATTTTATTGTTTGTGTATATATTGGTTGTAGGGTGAGGGGGCATGGGAAGATGGGGATATTGTTTGGAATATTAGAATATTGGAAATTTATGGAATATTGGAATTTATAATTTGCCATTATAGGGTTAGCCAAAAGCAAGGGTCTTTAAACTGCGGTCCACAAGCACCTTCATTCCGGCCCGCGAACCTCCAACAACTCCTTTCTTCTGTCCCCAAGACTGTTTATAGAGACTAAACCAAATAATTTTCAAAGGATAGATGTTTAAATTAAAGTAGTGTGACTTTTTGAACTTTTAGTGAAATCTAGCGTTCTAAATCGAATTGCAATTTGAACTTTTATAAAGGAATATTTTGGGAGCTTTCATCCTTCTGATTATTTGTCCCAACCAGGCAATGTTTTGAGCTCCTATGGACTTTGGTGCAATGGTTATGCTCATAATTTATTAGTAGTTCTTATATTTTCAAACAGGATTTGAAGATAATGACAAATTAGTTTAGAGCCACATATGACTGATTAGGGTCCTCCTGAATTACTCGATATTGCAATTCCTTACTGGGCTTGGGGTTTTTTGAATCAAGTTCCATGGCCTTGGAAAAGATATCGATCTCTTATGCCTTAGCTGTGGGATCCTGGAGACTGCTGAACACATTATCATGAACTGCACCACCTTCGAGTTGCTAAGGGCCAAATTAGTGAGGAAGACCGGTTTCTATGTTCTCAAAGAGAAAGATTTTCCTCAGCTAGTTACAGAAGAAAGCTACCAACTACAAAGACTTTGTGTACGAATGGAAAGATGCAGTAGTGCTTCAACACTTCAACCTCAAAAGAAGAGAACTCGCACCAGGGAGGCCGCTGGAACGAAGAGGGCCGGAGTAAGAATCCATAAATAGCTGATTATAATATGGTCTCACTGCAGGAGCAGGCAGTTAGTTATGCAATCAAGTGTAACAACCCAGTTCTGCAAAACCTGTATTACCTCAATGGAATGGTACTGTTTAAATAAATAAATAAAAGGAAAAATATGACTGACTAGGCAGCAGGCAGAGTAAGACTTATATTTCTTTTCTCAATACAAATCTATAGATCGATAGTCTAAAATATGGGAGAACAACATGATTCATATTTAAGGTATGCCGAGTAGTCATCAATCCAAGGCACTGTTGGTGGAAGTTGTCTCCAAGTCTTAATTGGCTCTCTTACCCAAGGAAATAATTAGCTAAATAACCAGGTACTGTATTCTTTCCAGAACGGTCAGTTATGATGTATAAAATGCAGGACAGCAGTACCTTTAAATACATATTGCACCTAATTCAGGTCACTAATCCATTATCCACCCCCAAACCATTATGATTATATTACATAATTCAATTAATTTTTATACTTACTCACTTCTATACAATGAGTTGAGTAAAAATAGCGGTTTTAATACTATATCTCATGTCAAAACAGTTTGAAATTACTATACAGTTTAGAAACTACGACTTTCTTTCAACAGCTAAAGTTTGGCTACTGATTTTAATTTTAAACTATGGCATAACAGTTAAAATTAAATATATGCAATAGATTGCTCATCAAGAGAATGTCTCTGAGTAGTGAGCCATGACTATCCACACATACCCATACAACATATCACCACCTGCCTTCAAAAGCCTATGTTCAGACAAGAATGATTAAATGACAATGAAAAGTGAAAGGACAAAGGAAGTATAAACTTGTGAAAGGACAGGTGTATGTGGAAGGGAACAAATTAATTGGCTATAGGAGACATTTCAACAGAATTTTCTTAGGGATAGGCTGTAGCAGACACATTTCTTTATGAAACAGTTGATGTAAAAAACTGTTTACATCTTATTAATTATTTTTTTGTCATAAAAATAATTTAATTTAAAATTTTTATTTAAAACATTAACAAACAAATCTAAATATTTTGGAATCCAAAAAATAAAAAAATGATAAGAAACAGAAAAGGCTGTATTAACATTCCTTCACAGTAATTATAATGGGAAAACCAGAGAATTATCACTTACTATCAGTATTACTAAAATAACACATCATGAAAAAATAATATAAATTTTTTTTTTATCTTGATTACAAAATTTATATTATAATGAAAATATCAATTCTATAATTAAATAAACTTTAACAATCAGTCTCTTCGATTGAATTTGTTCGAAGTAGAATATAACATTAATTAAATAATACTATAATAACAATAATAAATACTGTATTTTGAAATAAATATTTACACAATATGAAAGCCTCAGTATATTTAACTGCCTTGTTTAACATGTTACCTGCGGTTACGGGTTCCGACATTCGTCTCAATTTCAGTCGGGATTGTTTTGGATTTTGTCTATCTTATGAAGTCTCTAAAATGGTGATTTTTTAAATATTTGAATGGAAGTTGGATAGATGTAAAGGTAGATACAAATGTAAATAATCATTATATCTGATATAAAGCTATAAGGCCCCGGGGACCTTAACTGCAGCTAACCAGTTAAAATATTGTTTAAATGAAATAAATATTCTAATACAATCTAACAAAAGCATCTTTGCATGGTATCTCAATGTAAGGAACCAATTTATGTGTATCATTGAAAGTACCATGCTGAATTGAGTAGTATTACAAATTATTTGGCATTTTTCATATTATTCCCTTTGAAGGTTTGGGAAGGTGTAGCAAATATATTTTCTTCATAGGAATTTTCCTCAGCTTTTTTCTTTTCCAGAAGAGATTCTTGTAAAGGAGCAGGTGGAATACCTGAAAAAATAATTATAGTCAAACAATTGTGACTAACAACAATGATAATCATTAAAATAAACTTTGGCCAATTGCACCAACCATTGCCAATAACACCAACAATCTTCACTTCACTTCCCCACAGAACCCAATAAAAATTGAAATTTTCAAAATTACACCTATCCTCACAATCCTCCCATTAATGTTTCACTCCACACATAGGATGATCTCTTGGTTCAGTAGTGATTACTCTTTTAGTGATTCACTTGTTATCAATCTCGAGAACTTTGCTCCAAATTCACTATAGTGCTGTTACTTCAATTATATTGAAAGTTGAAAGTCACACAATTCTCTGAAATCTTATGTGTTCTCAGAACCACTCATTCTTCATCGGGATGAATATTCTGCACAATATTTTGTTTTCAAAAATTTGAAGGCCTTATTCTTTCCTTTACATAAGTAGTCACATTTATGATTTATAAAAAACAGAAAGAATTACATATTTTTAAATTTGTATGTTCAGATTTCTAGATAGAAGCAAACTGATTCATTTGGAGACAGAAATAACAAGTTTATTTTAGCCATTCAACTTGATTTTGTTTCTTTTAGAATTTAATTCATTTTATACTGGAACTTTTCAACATATTTATAAGTACTTCTCTTAATGCCCACATTTAAAAAATCATTGCTATAGACCATATACAGCTGGAGTGTCCCAAGAACCAAACCTGTTTCAATAATTAGTTATTAAAACGTAACAGCTGCAGTATATGAGGTCCTCACTTACTGGAGGCTATCCACACTGTCTGGAGGTAGGAGTGATGACCCTACCCCTTGTACTTTAATTGGGAATTCCAATGTGTTTTTGAGAATGAGCCATCATGAGATTTGGTCCATGGAAAGTCTATTTCAGAGAAAGAAGTGTAGGTTCTCATGGGCCTGCTGACACTGAGCATCCTTAACCCATGGATCTAGATTATTCTGTCACTATCCTTGAACCCGAGTGAATCAGTGAAAAGGATACTGCCAAACTAAACTATGGATTATAGCCACTGCATCATATAGACCATGGTATGTAACGACGTGAGGTTGGGTTATTCTCCCAAACAATCTATGCTCCCGCATGCAATATACATTGTAAGAAGACCCCAACATGCAATCAAAGGTCTACATGGTATTAAGTACCAAATGAAAAAAAATAAATTTAAAAAATGTGTAAATCTTTGGCATGCTGTGGTCTTCTTACATAAATTTATATGTATATGTATCTTACATATTGTAATATACACCTTAATTGAAAGATGTTAAAAATTATTTAATAAATTAATGTAGCACTTAAAAAGCAAGCTAATCTACTTTCACTAGTTCAAGGAAAAGAAAATAACTGCTCTATAGTTTCCACAGAAAGGAAAACCCCAAAGAGGGAATGGGACAAAGGATTTTTTTTTTGGCATGCAGTTGATGTTTGGCTGGGGTGAATATTTGATGGGAGAAGGGATCCTGACTCCAGTGGATAAAACCCAGTAATAGTATTACCATCTTGGAAGTTGTTGTTTGGCAGAGAGACTAGTCGTTTGGAATCACAAGAGAGAGAATATTCTATTAGTTATAGAATATTCTAGGGAGTTAGAGTTGTGTAGATGATGTTACCATTTTGGAAGATGTGTTTGGTAGACCATAAAAAAATGTTAGAAAATACATGAATTAACAGTATCTATAGAAAAAAGGTTAGCTTGCCAATCCATACTTGACTTTATTTTAAAATCAAACATTGTTTAGTTTAGTTAATGTTAGTCTATCTGAGTCATTTGATCTAATTGTCAGTAATACACACCTGATATAAAATAATTATAAACTTTAATTTAATATATTAATACTCTTATAATTTTATTTTTTATTTAACTATCTCTTATTTATTTAGGAAGTATTCAAACAGTATAAAGTAATCCTCAGAGGTTATATTATTATTATTTGTAAAATTTAAGAGATGTTACATTTATATAACAATAAAGATGGCAACACCAGTTCAGACTAATGTGAGAGCTTGGGCATGCTTTAGCTTGGTTCTGTTCACCAGGAACATAAAAAATAAAATAAAGTAACATTATTATTATGTATACATTACAATATAAACACACACACACACACATATACCTTTAGTCCACTCAATAAAAACGAGATCCCGTGATTCTGACCTCTATATTCCATTCCACAAGACAAAAACCTATGAACGTTCCTTCTTAGCCCGCTCCGTCGCCTACTGGAATTCTTTGCCACATAAAATCCGCCATGCCTCTTCACTGTCAACCTTCAAATACCTCATTTTCCAATATCTCCTTACATCCCAAACAGACGATTCGCGACCATAGATTTCATTTTATGAACTGAATTTGTGAGAAGTAAATGGTAATGCCTACTGTTTTAACATAAAACAAAAATGATCTCTGGCTATTATTTTTACTATTTATTTGTATTTCTCTTCCCCTCAGGTTGTGCTTTTTCTTTCGAGTATATATGTTTATATTTTATACTTTTTGTCTCCCTGTGTACCAATATGAGTAAGTACATATATATAGTTCCTTTTTTTTACTTTTATACCACAATTAATCCTGAGATTTTCTTTTATCTTAGTGTTTGCTTATTATTATATGAATAACTGTAAATATTATTACATTCTGCATTAAATTATTTTTCTATTAGATAGCCTATTGTTTATAAATTGTGCAGTTATGTATAAATAGATATATAATTTCTTTTCTTTCTTTTTTTTTTTTTTCTCCTCACAATAATAATTAATTTTGAGAAGATTGTATGTTCATTTATATATATCTTTTTTTTTTGGTTTATTTCTTAATGATTACATACTACTTTTTAAATAATGTATATAATATTAGAATTTTTATAAGTTAGTTTTTGGCCAGATTGGTATTTTATTTTGTAGTAATTCATCTTTGTTATTCTAAGGGAACTTAGTCCCAGAATAAAGTTCTATTTTCTATTCTATTCTATTCTGTATAAATATATATATATATATATATATATATATATAATATATATATATATATATATATATATATATATATATATATATGTATATATAAATCTGTACCACTACAACCCATGAAGGGTCTTGGGTTCAGTATTACTTAGGGAAAGCACTGTTTCAAGGTCAACGGTTGTGCAAGGAGTTGATTTGACCGAGATCAGGTTTTCCTCCTTAATCAATTATTTAATTAAGGGTACCAACTTTGTAGAGGCTGGGTGTGCCTGAGAAGGGTCTCCCGACCCAGGGTCGCCCCATGGCCAGTGAAACAGAATAAAGAAATTTTCCGCCATGAGCTGGGATTCGAACCTGGGACCTTTAGCATTGGAAGCTTAGTACCTCACCACTGTGCTATCCCTCTACCTTTATATATATATATATATATATATATATACACATATAATATATGTATATTAGCATTTTTTATTTTTATTTTTGTTCTCTTCCTCGCCTTTTATATATATACCTGGTTGTTTAAAATTCCTTAGTTGTAGATAGACCTGTTTCATCCTTTTGATATTGTGCTTTGAGACTACACTATGGTTAAGCATAGGTAGAGGATAGTCCACACCTATTGTACACTTTGCCGCACGCTGCACGCTCTCAGGACAATTCCAAGGTTCATGAATATACTTTGTAGGCATGTTCTTCAGAACTGGTAGGTATTTCCTAAAAACAGAAATAATATATTGCTGTTCTGAAATATATCATGCATTAAATATTATATGTAATTACAAAAAGGTTATTCTGCCAAAGTGAAGATGAAAGTATTTAATAAATATAGTAATTAAATTGGTAACATATTATTATGTACTATATTTGGCTTTATAAATTTCTTGTATTAATTATCAATAAAAATTGAACTGTGCTAAAAACTGTTTAAAACGTAAAAATCTGATTTTATAAGAAGTCCTTCAACTTATTTTTACCTATAGTTCTTGGGCTATACTTTAACAGATCAAATATTCATCCCGAATTTTCTTGCTATTTCCAATGAGAAATTCTCATACATCTAGAGTTTTATCGAAAAAGGTTTAATAATTTAGTATTACAAAGGGCGCCTAGTTAGAAGTATCAAATATAAAGCCACAAATTTAATTTTTACTAGTGAACGAAATTCAATATAATAGGTGATTCCTAACATGGCTCCATTGACAATTATAAAATGTATAATTACCTAATATAGTCCCCATTGGGATCCGCTTTTCTACCAAAGCGTACCGGACAGTAGCAGTGAAAGAATTGCTGGAAAAATGATGAACAAGAAAGCCACATCCACATGCCAGCATTCACAGACCAATCCGCATCCAACAGCAGTTCTTCAAATACCTATGGAATCAACAACCAAATAATGATTTCATAAGCAAATTGTAATTTGAAAATCAGAATATGCTTTAATAGTATAATTTTTTTTTTTTTTAAATAGTAACATTATATGTAAACATCATAGCAGCAATAGTTCTTAAAACATATTTCATTATAATTACTCTTTTATTCTTTCTGGAAGTGCAGAGTAATATTTCTTGCCATAAAAATAAATAAATAAGGCGAGGAAATGTGGAAAGTAGAGATTAATCCATTTTTTTTTTTTTTAATATTCTTACAATTTTTCAAGTATCAAACAGAATTGTTTTTGGTGGTTAAGTGGTGCTGTGGGTTAAGTCCATGATCCTTTACCCTCTCTGGTGTTTTTTTTCTAATCGGAGAAATGAAAGATAATATTTTTTGAATAATAATCTTTTTTTTTATTTTAGAATGTTGAACTTCCAAATCTTGAAATATTCATCTACTCAGAGTTAAGAGTTTGGCTCCGTCTTTTTTAAGAATATGTTAGCATTTTCCAAAAGAATAGTTTAGCAAACCTCTCATTTTACTCAGAATCTCAAGCCTCCATACATATATTCTCTTTTCATCGCACAATTTGTGGAAATTATGACAAAGAAAATCTCAGAACGTTAATCTATTGGTTCTTCTAATTTAATAATCTTTACTGATTTTCTATTATTAAGATATCTTACTTTTGTGGAATGAAATCAATTTGGAGGTATTTAATTTTTAAAGCATATAAATTTTACATTTATCTCTTGAAATTAAAGAAGAAGTGCAGAATAGTTTTAAAATTACAGGCCTAATGTCTCTAAAAATTATAACTTATTCTGCCATCTTTCAGCTATTCATTATAACATAAAAAAAAAAAAAAATGTTAAAACACAAAAGAAAACTTGTAAAATATTTCCAGCAATGTTTAAGGTTCAGTTATGATATTAAGCATAATTTATTTCAAAATTATTAAAACTTACAATATCTAAATAAACCTGGCTATAATATAAATATAAAAATATAAAAATATAAAAATATAAAAAATATAAAAAATATAAAATATAAAAAAATATAAAAATAAATATGGCTATCTACCTTGAAAATGCATATTGAATATTTCTAAATTAAAGAGATTGTTTTATAAAAACCGAATAGTCAATTTCACAATCAAAGAATAATAAATACGAAGCTAGTAAAAGCTTAACTAGTAGTAATGACAAAGAATTGACTCATTCAGTTACATATAACGCAAAAAGATTTACTGTATAGAAACAATCAAGTTATTTATAAAAAATATAAATTAGTATACTTTAATTAATATAAATAAATACCAAAGGACCAATCCAATCACAACATACTAAAACTAAACATATCAATTGGCGATCAAATGACTATTGGAGAATTCAGCTTCAATAATTAGAATTAATTCATCATTATTTATATTTTTTGTTTATTATTATATTTTTTTTTATAAAATACTCATGAATTTTATATTAAAAGCTAAAATTTGATAAGGCTCCAGATAAAATTAAAAAAAATAAATAAATGGACAGCATTGTATCGATAATAGTTTGCAATATAATCTAAGCAATGGCGAATATCAAAGCAAGAGAAGTTTACTCAGCGAACTGAGTTAGCAGTTAGTGTTTATTATCTTCAAAGAAGCATTTAACCAGTTTTTTTTTTTCTGATCCAGGTCAGTTTTATTCGTTATTTATTTGACTAAGTAATACCACCAAACATTTTGAACTGAAATATTTGCCTGTGGAAGACCTCATTAACAACTTAAGTAAGCAAAGTAAACATGTCCAGTTTAGGAGAAATTCCTTGGATAAATGGAAAAATTGATGATTCACCTTTAGAAACAATTAAATTATTGTTTAAATTGATTTTCGGAGAACCCTGTAGATTCAATCGTAAGAAATTAAAATCTTTTACAGGATTCCATCTTAACCATGAAAATATTGAAATGAAGATTGCCAAAATGACCCAAGACTTTTGTATTTGTAAACTGAAAACTATATGTGGCCTATTATCATTAGAGCAATTAGATACAGGACGAGGTATGGCTGAATCTATATGTTTCTTTCTAAATGATGTTAGCAAATTACAGCAGCAACTATTAGAATATGGGGAATTCAAAAGAGTAAGAGCCAGTACTCAAGTTAGTGAGGAATCTAATCATCAACTAAGTCATGGATTGAGAAAGTCAGTAACAAGTTTGCTAAGTAATCAGAAAAGTAACAGTACAGTTGCTAACTTAAATCTACAGACAGGGTGCTATACAGCTAATAAATCCAGCCAGGTATCATGGGGAAGCATTGAATCACATTGTGCCCGACTGACTAATATTCCACAAAATTCTAAAAAGTTAGGAGATTCATTGATACCTCCATTTACCATCAATATCAAGCTAGAAGACTTAGGATGTACCGTGGAAGCTATTTTGGATACTGGCAGCCCTATATCTTTTTTAAGCTATGGTGTGTTACCAAAAACAATACAGTTTGAATCTTATGACAATCGTCACCAGTTTAGAGGAATTACTGGAAGTAAAATTAACATTATTGGCCAGTTTAAGCAAACAGTTGTGACACAAGAATGTGAAAAACTGGTTTGCTTTTATGTAATTCCGAATGGAATATTAAGCAGCAGTTGTTTACTAGGGCGTGATTATATATCACAAACATTAGTAACTTTGAACGGAGGAATTTCAAGTATAACAGACAAAACAGACTAAAAAACTATTTTTCAAGAAAGGTAACTATTTTATCATATGACATATCCATCAAGAACTCAAGATTATTGTTTTGTTTCTTGAAATGATAATAAGTAAAATAAATAAACATTTTAACCAAATTATTATCATTATGCACAGAATATTTTGATTGAACTTAGAATTGTTGATAAGAGAGGGGAAAAAAAAATTAAATTATATGAAAATACCATTTGATAAACAGTGATGCATGTAAAAGTGGTTTTATAATATTTGGTATTTCATATTTTAAAAATGTGTGTTGTTGGAACTGTGATCAATAGTTTAATCAGTGAAAAGTATTTTATGATTTTTTGATATGGTGTCAGAAGTATAAGCATTATGTTTACAAAACTCATCAATAATAATCTTCTTATCTTTATATTTTTCTCAAGTTGTATTATAATTGTAATCAAGGAATTCCTAATCATAAGAAAGTTTATTTCTATTATTTATAGATAAATAAATTTAAATTTCAATAGATACAAATAAAGAGAATGAATAGTTTGTTTATATCTGTTAAATAATTTTAAATTAATGTTAGGATATCACTATATAACAAGCCATTTAACATTATTAATTTAATTCAAATGATAAACATTTTCCATTTGAAAATAAAAAATTGGCTTAGTTTGTATAATAGTATTGGTAGACATGCAGATTTTTTTTTTTTTTTTAATAACGAAACAACCCTTTGACATTACAATTATTTTTTTAAATAACAACTTCAACTATTAATTTTTTTCCAAAATAAATGTTTCACACTATGTACTTTAAATAGATTATCCTTATCAGATAACTGTTACCACATTAAAACTGGGTTTTAAAAAAGTTTATTTAACTTGTAAAATTATATGAATTATTTATTTATACCTGATCCTACACTCATATATCACAAATGGTGGCAATTAAAATTAATAACACTTAACAAAAAAGGAATCATCAAACAATGATATATATTTATATAATCCTATTATTTGATAAACCAAAATGTCACAATAACAAAAAATTCATAAAGCAAATAAAATATTTTAAAATTTTTGTATAATTTAAGACATGAATGGACAAAGGACATATATTTCAACTTTTGCAAAAATGACATATAATTTTTCTAAAGATATGATCTATCCTATAGGCCGGTCCACACGCTCCGTTTTGCACAACGTTTTGTCTGCGCAGTCTTAAGACGGAATGAAAACGTTGCAATTTGCAGAGCGTCCACACGGCACAGACATATCCGTATATTTTGCTCAGTTTTGTGTGAGATCGCCATGGAGGAGGTACTACTCTGGTCGATTTTCGCGATGTGTATTGTTAAAAAAAAAGATTGGAACATCTCAGAAGTACCCGGCGTTCAAAGTGGTCGCGGAAGTGGCTTCTAAAAAGGCAGCACTTTTCCCATATCAAATTATTGCGTGAATTACGTGATGAACCTAATGATTGGCGGAACTACTTGCGAATGGACATTGACACATATACTTATTTATTGGAATTGGTGACACCGCATATCAACAAAGAAAATACTTGTATGAGAACAGCAATATCAGCACATGAAAGGCTAACAGCAACTTTAAGATTTTTAATGCCTTGGTGTCTCCTGATCATTCAGGAAATGTAACAAATCAAAATACCAGAGAGATGGCTTGTATATTTCGTCTTCTCCAGCCCCAGATCGAATCGATTTATTTATTTTAGCCAATTCTTTACACGCTTCTCAATGAATTTATTTTTTTCACAACTGTCTCCCGGTTTGCCGTTACATCAATTTCTCTAAATTTATTAGCTAAAATTTCATACGCCTCCGCCTTCTTATCCCTGTCACTGTATTCTTTTGATTTTACACGCCAAATGCACGGGAAACTTTCATACAGAGCAATAAAATCAGTTTAAAACTCCCTAGAACATTGCCGAAGGTCAGCCATTGTCGCCCGACGGATTGAAACTGAGTAGCAAAACGGATCGGAAAACGGTGCTACCGTCCACATGCGCCGACTTGCCTGCGCAGTTCAAGGAAATCTGAGCTGTCTGGCTCAGTTTTACTAAGACTGTACCGTCTTCCAAATGGATTCAAAACTGCACTGTTTTCCAGTCCACACGCAACGTTTTATCTGCAACGTTTTGAACTGCGCAGACAAAACGTTGTGCAAAACGGAGCGTGTGGACCGGCCTTATCCCTTGAGAAGGCGATTAAACAAGAATAATATTTTTTAAATTTTTCAAGGTGAAATATAAGTAGACAAAATATTCATTAAAAAAGAAAAAAAAAATTTGAAAATTTGTAACATAGTACTTTTATCCACTCTTTTCTTAATTTCTGAAGAAAATCCTTGATAAATATATAACAATATTAACTGAAATTCTTGTATATCCTTGTAAAAATAAAAGTAGAAAAATATAAGAAACTGTTGAGAAATTAAGACTTGATTTATATATATATAGAGCAATAAAAATATTTCTATTGCTTTTTGTACATGAGAGATATGCTAATAAAGAGGTCAAAGATTTGTTAAGATGCATTACAACTTTGTCCACGTTCTTGATTATTCACCTTTAGTTTAATCAATTCTTCATTTGATAAATTTGCAGAGTAAAGTAGTGGTAAAGTATCAGTAAATTCATTATTAATAATGATTTTTTTTTTTTTTTTATAAAATTACTTTATTTATAATGGCTTGGACTTGCAATTAATATATATTTCAAGATTTTTTTTTTGTCACCACACCAAACACAAAGTATTATCATTTAAGATGCCTAATACATTTAAAATTGATTTATTTACTCATTTTTCACAGTGGCAGTTCAACCCTGTTTGGTTAAAAAATAACCATAATTTCAGCATCAGTTCACATGTTCTCGTCTCACTTTTCTTCATTTTATTTTTATAAAATGTCTTTTCATTTTCATTTAAAAGTTTGATGAAAATGTCTGGGAAAGTTTTAAAACAATGAAGTTTTTCTGTATTAAATTGTTGCATTAATTTTTTTTTCATATCTCAGAAAATCAAATTGTTTGCAATTTGGATATATTTACAATTATAATGATAGTTTAATTATAAAAAGTACAAAAATATATTCTCACTTTCATTCCCTCCTCCCAAGAGATCCAGAGATCACCCCTGGTCAAGAAACAGGCGACGGCATGACGTGCAAGGTGATGAATCCATCCCTCTTCTCTCAGTTGCGTCATGATCGCATCGATCCATGGAAATCCTGTTTGACCCTGTTCACATAATGTACCTCTTGCACATAGGCATGAGAAGAGAGAGAGAGAGAGACAGCTTTTAGTACAATTCAAAGAAGAATAAACTAATTTTAATTTTTTGTTAAAAATATGATTTCGATTTTTGTATCAATTATTTGAATTCCCCCAAAAAATTTTGTCAAAATTTCTTTTACAAGATTAAAGAATTATAAATATTCAAGAATTTCCATTTTGAGAGATAAATTATTAAAAATAATGGTACCATTCTATTTTAGTCATCATAGTAACTTTCATTTAACAATTCCATGTTATTTATGCCCCCTTTTTGAATTACTCATGGTTGAATAGTAGAGAAGGCGAGAAAGAACAAGGTTATAAAATACATACATAAAAACAAAGGATATAAAATATTATTTAAAATTGTTTGGTTTATTCATTTCAGACCAGAATTATTTAATGATTAACCCTTTAATGGTGGCGGATTCATTTATGAGTCGAGAGGGAATCGGGCCATGGCGATGGTGGACTCTTATATGAATCAGGAGCCTGTTGTGTTCTGTTTTGTTAAACAATGGGATACTCAGTGATAAATTTTACTTTCAAACTATCTTGCAGCCTTCCCATGAGTAGGTAATTTGAGATTAAGGGCATTTTTGAACGATGCTTTCATTTCAAATGCGTAAGTGGTTAAGTAGAGGTGATGAAAAGTATACCATCCTCAAGGACTCTCCATCCTTCCAACTCATCTTTGCTAAAAGGTTAATGATATAAAGATTCATTTTTCAAATTATTATAACATTAATTAAAATTCCCACCTCCCAATAGGACCAGTCATCCTGGGAAGTCACCCTACTACTCCTGAAAGAGAAGGCCGGAGCACGAAAGAATGAAGATAACAAAAAAGTTGATATTATTAACTTCTTTTTTTCTTTAAATAATGTATCACTACTGTTAGTGCAAATGGTCTTATGTAACAATTTTCCATGTTTATTCTATTTTTGCTAAAGGTGACATTTTTTAGTCTGCAGCTGCAGTAAGTAATTCGCTACTATGGAAAATAGCAGTGGGAAATAAAATATGAAATTATAGTAATAAATCATAAAGAAATAATCAGTTTTTATATAAAAAAAACTCAATTTTTACATACGACTTTTGGCACTAACATTAGAGGTATACTTACTTGATTGTAAAATGAGTAAATTTTGCATAAATAAAGGCTATTTCATTTCATTTCAATTAAAATTTTAAAAATAAATCTTGAAGTTCCAAAAAGTAGGCATTTCCGACATATATTTTTAAGTCCTAAAATGCTAGAAATATCAACTATTTGTTGTGGTGGATGAAGCAATAGGAACAAGCAATGTTACATGATAATGAAACAAGCCTAAATTTAACTATGTTAACTAGAATAGAACAGCCCCAAAAACCTCCTTAAAGACATTACAGGTAAAAATATTTATTTTGCAAAACAACTTGAATTAATAGGTTATTCTGATTTGATTTGAAATAGTAAAATTAAATTTGTGTTACAGTTTTGCACAACTAAAATTAAACACTTATTATAGTCAACTGTAATACTAAAAGAGAAGAGATTCAAGGACGAAAAAGTAAAATAAAAACAAAATAAAACATACAACATGAAAGAACATAATGACAAAAAAGTTTAGATAATAACAGAGGTTGAGGAGGTCTCATGGAAAGTTAAAAAAAAAAAAAAAAAAATTGACTAACCCTTCCAGTTGTAATCCAAGTATCCCTTGACACTAACATCAATTTTCTTTAATAGGAAAAAGTAACTAGCATAGTAGTGAATATTATATTAACAACTAAAAATTTATCTAAGATTTTTTTTTTTTTTAAGAAACATTTATCTAACAATTATTTCTTTAAATGTTGATGAGTATTACATTTATTAATAAATAATAATAATCTTAAACAATGAGTTATTAAATTTAATATGATTTTGGATTAAGTGAACAAATTTCTGTAAATTTTAATTTAGAATTAAATTGATTTAATTACTTTGATCAGCTTATACCACTTTCCAGGAAGCCTTACTACAGGAAAGGTTTAATCAATAAGGGATCATTTTAAATTATGCATGTTAATACATACGTTGGCCCATTTGGCTAATGCTTCAGGATTCTTATCCCAAGGAACTTGAACACATATTGGGTTTCCGATCATTTTGTCAAAATTTGGGTTCTTAGTGGCGGCGCAATAGAAGAATTCCCTCCAAAGTACCTGGCCATGTAAAGAGAGCGGAGGTACAGCTTTTTTGATCTGTAATTTGTAAAACCATCTAAATTATAAAATAGAATAAAAAATATAATTAAATGCATTATAATTAAATATTTTTAAAAAAGAACCAACTACAACGTTGATTGATTTAAACAATGGTCAAGTAGTAACAAATAAGATCCTTTTCAACATTGACTGCTCAATTGCACAACTTTAGATATTTAATCAACAAAATTACTTGCTTACATTAATGTAATAATTATTACAATTTTTATTATTGAAATTTACAATTTTTGTTTTAATTTGAAAAGTAAAAAGTAAATAAAAGAGATTTTAATTAAAATAACATATCAAGAAATTAATAAAGGTCAAACAAACAATCAATCTTAATTAATTTTCTTCAGCTGGTTACAAACTAACTATTAGGGGGACTGGAGAGTAATGTTATTTTCTCAAATTAAATTTAACACACATAAATTTTTAACAAGTATTTATTTTTTATCAATGGTGTAATCACCCTCTTTATCAACAACCGTTTGCCATTTAGTATGCAAATTTTCAATGCCAGATCAATAAAAATCAATTAATTTTGAAGCAGCAAAACAATCAGAGATGGCATTTTGGCTATCATCCAAATATGCAAATCTTTTGTCACTTCTTTTAATTTTTTTTTTACTGAATTACCCTCTACCCCCACCATTTCTGTCATAGGGAGGGTTGTTCTAGAGTAAGGTGACCAGATTTTAACATTAGTGAAGCAGGACACCATTGACCAGGGGAGGGGAGGAGGAGAGGAGGATCAGTTGGTAAATCGGGACACCATTGACCAGAGAGGAAGAAGGTTCCTTGATAGATATTTGGTTCATTCATTAAGTTCAAACAATATTAGGGGCAGTGTGGCTGGGTAGCATAATGCATGTGCACTGCACCGCACGCATTACCCAGCATAACTGAATTATAGACAATAAAATAACTATTAGTTAGCGTCCCAGTGCCGGTACGGTTTTTTAACTCTGCCACTAATCTCTCACCCTCACCCTCTGGACTGAGAAAACCCCATATAGCCTAAAAAGCGAGGTAGGGGAGACAAAAAAAAAAATTCCAAACAATAGTCCAAATTTGTTGTTGCAATAATTAATTTTACATAATGATAATCTGGTATAAATGTTAATCAGATGACATAGTATTCTTCTGAAATAAGGTTGAGAATTTAGTGCAGAGGCTTATTTTTGAGAAAGAATAATTTGAAGATGTATTTGATATCTAATTTACGACTTCAATAATAACACAGTATTTGTATTAAGGATATAAAATGAAACATATTTTGTAGAAAGATCACACAGACCTCAACAGATGAAATTTTCCATTGTCTATGTTTTATAACATTTATATGAATATTATATTTTGTATATACTTGCTTTGTGATAATAAACAAATTTTCATTCATTCATTCAATAACACAGTTTTTAATTCTTAAATAGTTTGTGCCAGCAGTTTGTATACATTCAAGCACCTCTTTTTCCAAATGCTATGAACTTATTGATGGTGACATTTCTTACATCGAAGTAGTAAATGAAATTAATTAGTTGATGCACAATATTTAACCTTTTCCTTATCAATATATTCTTTTAATAACGATAACTCATAAAAAGGATCATTTTTGGGTTGTTTATCATCATAAAGTTCAAACAATGATGGTTGAATTCTAACAGCTGATCAAAAATGCGAACTTTACTAAGCAGTTCTTGATAATCAGTTCTTAAGAATTATTCGTTATAATTGAAATTTAACATTATAAAATCAACAAACATAATATAAAACTCATTTCATGTCGAAGTAAGTACATGGCCACAAAAAAACATATATTCTCAAAAGCTGTTCTCTAACTAGAATTATTTCCGAAAATCAGGACTTTTTCAAAATGCTGGGGGATGTGGGACAAATTGTTAAAAATCGGGACTGTCCCGCCCAGAAGGATTTATTATATAAAATTTGTATCTATGTTTGTAATTTTGGCATCAAGAATATTGAAACCTTAACTGTCATAATACTTTAATTGGTTCCATTATAAAAAAAAAACAGTTTAATTTAATAATGTGAGGCAAATATGGAAAATACACAAACTATAAGATAACTATTAGTTGGCATCCTAGGCAATAATACTAATAACAAATTATCTCAGAGTTGGCAGTCAATATATTAAGAAGAGTATTTCAATATAAATTTTTTTTAAATTCTCCTAACTAAACAGGATCGATCCAAATAGGCCTCATCACTATCATGTAAAACTTTTTATTTTTTAAAATTAGTGTATTTTTATATGTTATTTGTCTAGTTTTTATCTGAACTTATTATTATTATTATTAATAATAATAATACTAATACTAATAATATTATTAATATTAATACGCTACGGTGCTGTAAGAACCCGGGCCTACAGCCAACCAATCTCCACGCTCGATTGTGCTACTTCCCTCCACCTTCTAACATCCAACTGCCTCAGATCATCCTCCAGCCATCTGATCCGAGAGCTTTTACTTTTTTTTCCATCGGGCTTCTCATACAACATCCTCATTGGCATTCTTTGGTCGGCCATTCTTTCCTCATGACCTAATCATCTTATCCTGTCTCTTTTTATCAATGCCACAATATCTCGTTCTCCATACAGTTCCCGCAGCTCCTCACTATTTCTTCTTCTCCAAATTACATTATCAGAAATTCCGCCTCATGTTCTTCACAATACTTTTCTCTCCCAAGAGTTGAGCATGCGTTCTGATTTTTTGTTTAAAATCCAATTTTCACACCCATACATAACCACTGGCCTCGCTATGGTTTTGTAGATGAAGATTTTGATTCTTTTAGAGAGTGATTTAAATTTCAAGTCTCTTTGCAATGAGAAATAGCATCTCTATTTCTATATTACCTGAATTAATCCCTTTCAAATAAATATTAACTACATCATTCATTTGATTAGAGATTAAATTTTAAGTTTCAACTGCTATATTATTATCTATAACTCAAAATATTAACAATCCTAGAAAAACCCTTAGAAATAAATCATTTAAAAAAGTAATTTGTGAATATTTTTCCATCTTCTAAAGACAAAAACCTCTGCAAATTTAGCAAAAAATATATAAAAAGAAATACATAAAATAAGTAAATATAGTATATAAAATAAAAATTAAAACAAAAGTGGATGAGAACAATTACAATTTATGACAATAACATGACAAGATTTTTCATATTACCTTTCGGTACAGATCGTTGAGTTGATAATAGAAGAGCCTAGTAGAAAGACATCCGAACCTTAAGTATGGACTTAAGCCAGTCTGAGATGGCAAAAGTGATTGTGGAGTCATTTTTGGTTTTCCGAAAGAAGCAACCCATGCCTGGATTCAAAAACACTTAAAAAGTACCTTGGAAACGTAAATAATAAACATAAACCAAAATAAATAGCATACCCTAACTTCAGACAATTATAGTCTTAAGCTTGATTAAGTGGGAGAGTAATTTAATTTGTGAGGAACCAATGGAATGTTGGTTAAGATCACGGTTATTAGATTAGTCGATATGGTCAGAAGTAAGTTATATTCAACGTTGATAATTCGCAATAGCATCATAAGTGATTAAATAGTATTGTAATCAAATATTGTAATTTTTGAGACAAACATTTAGGATAAAAATGGTATATAGCCTATTCTTCAATCAAAGCAACTTGTCCTTTGTTCTGATAATTGAAAACCTTGATCAGTTTTAAATTACTCAGGTTAGAATATGTTCATCCTAACTATGTAAATATTTCTAGAACATAAATAGAAAACCATTAAAAACAAACAAACAGAATGCATTGGTTGATTTTTTTATGACTTTAGATCTCTTTAGCCTTTAGTTTTCTTTTAAGGAGACACTATGTAGATTAAATTTCCACATATAAAACATTCAAATGTAAAAGTCTTATTTATCTTCTCATTAATAATATCCCTTCTATCAAGGAGTTAATTCTTTATTGCAAAAATATTGATTAGGTATTATAAAAATTTAAAATAATCACTCTAAACTACCTTTCTTTCTAAATGTCTTTCAAGTCTTGAGAGAGCTTCACTTTCTCCTCCTTGCCAAACTCCAGGCACTAATCCTTCAGTACAAAACCCTGTTAACAAAATGTACATAATTTTTCTTTGTACAGTTAGGGTTATAGAAAAAAAATAATTTCTGCTGAGTAAAAATATTGCGATAGACTTATCAATCAGGTGTTACAAAGACAAGAAGTTAGAAAGGAGAGTAATCCAGATGATAAAAATCATTAACTTATAAGATAAATATAATAATAAAGCCATTGATTTTGTTTTTTGAAAACAAGTTTTTTCTTATTAAAGCTATTTAAGAGTATGTGAAAATAAGTTTAGAGAAGAGGATAGAGAACATAAGTTATGGTGCCTATATGTCTGTCTACTTTATGGTATTCTCAAGAAAGAGAGAGAGGAAGGTCAACAAATTTTATGGCTGAGATGAGGAATCTGTAATAAGATGAAATGACAAGGTCAAAGGCAGTATTTCAATAATCTATTTCTTGAAACAATATAATTATTTTTAAATAGAAATGAATTGATTGTAATATTAATCCATTGTTCATAATTACTATATTAATTGTACTATTAATGATTTAATTCATTAGTGATTAATTGAAATAATTCATAAATCGTTGTGTGGTTATTAATATACACACTGTCATTTTCTTAATTTTTAGAAATAAATAAATTTAATTTAAAAGATAAAAGTTGAAATGAAGTTTAATTTTCAAATAATATATATTTTGTGAGATCCAACACTCTCTGCAAGTATTTAGGCGTAAAACAATTATTGTCATTTTATTTTCAGAAAACATATATTGGGTATTGAGTTCAGAAAATACATATTTTACTTTTATTAGTTTTAATGCTTTTAAATATTTTCAGCATGTAAAACTATCAAAAAGTTTGTGTGTGTGTATGTGTACATATGTAGGTAGATTTCTATAAGAGGTGTCTCTAAACCTGCACAACTGTTCAGTATTGTGGGTATAGTATTGGGTTGGCAAATAAGTCCTTTCGGTTTTTCTGTTTATTTTTATGTCACTACCATACACATCTTATCTGATGAATTAATCCCTAAGGTGGATTGTTTATCATGTTTGTAATTGTGTTCCACCAAAACAACGTTAGGCTCAACACCTCATTGGTCACTCGCAATAAGTTATTGAGCCTTGAATGAGATCTTTTGCCCCATCCTCCCTATTCACCAGACTTAGCTCCAAGTGATTACCACTTATTCCCCGGTCTCTGTGCAACTCCATGAATGAAAAGAAATTCCATAAGGAAGAGGACTTCAAAAACCGCTTGGATCAGTTTTTTAACAATAAACTCCAGACATTCTATGAACATGGCATTAAATAATGGTCAATAAATTGTAGATTAAAATAAATTTTATGTCAATAATTTATTGAGTTTTATTTCATCCTGAAAAACCGAAAGGACTTATTAGCCAGCACAATATAGTGTGCCTTTGTCCAACAAAACTTGATACTTATTGTAGCTAGGACTATCTTTTTTTACTCTCTTCTATTAAAATGGAGCAGAGCACGAGGATAACAAAAAAACAAACAAATAATAATAATAATGATAAGGCTTAATGAGTAATATATTAAGGATGAGAAAAATAAATATAATATTTTTTTCAGTGATTAAACCCGTCCTTGAGACGAACTCTTCCTATAATGTATATAATTTAAAGAAAACAGAAGGTACAAAAATATTTATATATTACTGACCTAACTCTTCTAGGGTGGGTACTCCATACTTTTCGTCATGATTATCAGAAATGGGTGAAATAGCATCTGCTATTGTAGCAGCAGTGACGGGAGGGTCTGGTAGAGGGGGACTGTCCATGCCTGCGACAACAGTTTGGAACTGGTGGTAGGTTAGTGGTGCCCTTCCTCCATTTCTTTCAATAATACTGCAAAAAATAAATTATCAACTATGAGTCTATCAAGAATCTATCAGCACTGCTTAGCAATAATTCAGTCATACCTATTTAGTTCAAATAATATTCTTTTAATATTATTTACAGATATTCTTAGGTTATAACTCTGACTGCCTAAATATTAAGGTCTTAATCAGAACCTACCAACATTTTTTACCACAAATCACATCATGCACTATCTATATTTAAATAATATTCTGGTAGTTTCTTTTTGAAAAGCAATTTGTACGTGAACCTAATTGAGAAACGAAAAGATTAGCATCTGTAAATCCAACCTCATCAGTGTAATATTAGACAAAATTTGTTATAAGTTGAAATCACTGACATGTTTAGAAAACTGGATAAAATAACTGTTTATTTGTCAAAACTTTCCTTTGTAAAAATTTTAAATTTATAAATAGTTTTTAAATTTTGTAAATCATAATGATTCAGTGTAAGAGGAAAATTACCTTTATGCATTGTTCTATTTGATTGACACCTGAAATATTATAACAAAAAAAAAAGTTGTATTACATTATACTACTGTTAGCAGTGTCGGCCTTAGACATTCGGCACTTCCACGCAATGACATCATCTTCCCTCCTCCTCAAAAAAGAACTAAATTTATTTCTTAAGCTGTTTATGTATGTAAGTATTTATTTATAGAAAAAGTTTTATTTCATTAAATTATATATACACTTTTGTTTTTGTTATTGTTTATATTAGATAGTTTTAAGCATTTTAATACATGTAGCATTTTAGAGAGATAAAGAGAGAAGGGGGAGAGAGGGAAATCAAATTTTAAAAAAAGTGCATGAACAAGGAAAAAAAAAGATATATATAATTTATTATACTCATACTTATTAACCACTTCCATATATTTATGTATAAGCTTTATTGATTGCCCTAAAGATTAATCAGTGTGCTGTGTGTCCAGCAACCCAATATAATTGGGCAGAAATCTTTTATATTTTATATGAAAATAAAGTGTTTCTCTCTCTTATGTAATATTTTAATTTTATTTCATTCAACATTTCTCTAATACAGTCGCTTTATTGATAGACTAAAATTAATTATTTTAATAGGTTTTGTATTTTTTTAAATATCTAACAAGCGGCGAGCTCCCCTATAGACGTCCAGCGCTCCAGGGCAATTGCCCCGGTCTCCCACCCTAAGGCCGGCACTGATTGTTAGTGTATAATATAACAATCATCATAAAACATCAACAGTGATTGCAGCTTTCATTTCTACTTCTGTTGCATCTTGTAGCAGATGCAAGATGCAGCATAGGTAGAATATTAACTAGTAATGTTATCTATCTAAAAAACAAATTTATTCTCACAATTCTAGTTTATATAATGTGTGCGCCACTAGTGATATGACAGTAATATTCATTGCTTTACACATTGTTGAAATATTCTGATCGCGTACACGTCCAAAAGGTTCAGGATCTTCCTCGAAAGAGAGGCAAGTAGTTCCCCATTCCTGTTGAAAAAACAATGGAAATTAGTCATTAGAAAGAAATTAAACAATAATAATCTTGGTCTTCTCCACCAGTTTTTACTTATTGATATTAGAAAATTTGTCCTATATGAGTCCAAAAATGAATAAAAGACGATATAATTAGATTTTGTGGAGTATTATTTATCTTAAATTTATCTAATAAACCTAGACCAGAAGCCTGAAGTATAAAAGTTGATTGGAATCAGTGTGCCAATATGGGTAGAAAGTCATTTTTTTATTTATAACTAACTGACAAACATTTCATACTTAAATATACTTAATTAAAATTTTAATGTTTAATTCAACTAATTTACAAGTTACACAGTACAGTTGATTAGTAAAAATTTACAATACTTTATTTCATATGATATTTAACAATTTCAAAGATGCAAGAATTTTGGATTCATCTTACAAATATATAAATTAGTGACAACATTATTTACCTTGAAGAGTTTTGGTAAAATATCAGCAGGTTGACCTCTCAGAACAAAGAGACGTGAATTTAACTTTCTGAGGCTGCGATCCAAATCCTCAAGACACTGAAGGAGGAACCTAAAAATTGTCATAAAATTAAATTAATAACACATGGTGAATTTATTTTGTTCTGGCATATCATTTCTCACCTCCATTTGTTAATACCAACATTTGATGCATTGGCAAACCACGGGTCCAAAATGAAGATACATCTAAAGGTTTTGGCTCCTTTCAGGCCTTGTCGGAGACTTGGGTTGTCGTGCAATCTCAGACCTTTCCGAAACCAGTGAACAGTATGTTTTTCAGTCATTTTATGTGATATTAATCTTCATTTTTAATAATATAGACTCTTCTTCCATAATTCAACTGAAAAAAAAAAAAAATGATTCTATTAATATCTATAAACCACAGATAATTGTAGCTTATTTTATTTACCAAAAAAATTAAGAAAGTAAACAAAAATATGTTTAGTTATAATAATTATTTAAATTAATTTTACAAAGTCATAATTAGGGAGTTTCATCCAAAAATTGTTTTGTTTTCTAGATGACCCCTTCATGAGCCTTTTTCCAAAAGTATGTCATTATTTATAACACAACCTTATAAATTTATATCACATTATTATACAATATAATATAATGAATGATTTAAATTTAAAAAAGTACTTTGCAGTAGAACAAATGAATTTATCTATCTTTTAAGCTTACTATCTTTAACAAAACTAAACAGATTTTTTTGTGTCTGAGATGTATTGTGAATGATATTATAATGAACAACAAATACAAGTAATACATGGTGTGGTAATGAGAAAAAGTTATGATATCAAAGAAATGACAAAATCAAGCTTGAATGAATTTTCAAAACAATAATAAATATAATAAAATTTATATTAAAAAGTTCATGTATTTTTTTTTTTTAAACCTCCTGTAGTTTCTTTCATGAGTGAATTCCGATACTCATATTTTCAAATCTCAATGATGTACAAAACAGATGGAATACTTACTTTTGATTTTTAATAAAGTGAAAATAAAAATAAATGGTTAAATTTTGTAAAGTTATATTTTGATCTTATAGAAACTAACTTTCTTAAAAATTACCTTAGAAATAAATTTTATTTCTTATTAAACAAAAAGTAAACATGGAATGGCAAGTTTTTAAATGTTAAGGATATTGCGAATACAAATTTTTTAGAATATAATAAGAAAAAAAAAAAAAAGTTTGCGTAAACTTATAACTGAATTCTCTCATCAAATTTTCAAATAAAGAATATGAAAAGATGTATTTATTATTATTTTGAAGTATAAATAAACAGATATAAAACAGGATAAGTGACTAGTTTTTTCCTTAAACATAATGCAAAACAAATGAATAGATAAATAAATCATAATATTATATTTGAAGAAATATTAAATTTTTACGGCATAAATGTTTTGCTGTTAAGTGTAAATATATTAATAATAAACAAAAACATACAATTATGATTTATGACAGTTCCTATCACATTAAAAATGATGCTTTATAGAATTGTTGAAATCGAAATCATTTCTAAGAAAAAAAATGTCATCATTAAGGCAATAATACATGTAAAGAATTATGAAGATCTATGACATAATAGTTGCATAACTGATTATTGTCTATTCATCTGTCACTACTCCTGTCCAAACAGCGCTTCCTTCCTCTATTTCACACTTATGTATATTAATTATTTTGAACCGAATTTTTGTCAAAATTTCGTTTCTTATAATGAACAAATAATTAACTTACGGTTGTTGTAAATTTTTAAGACATTCTATGGATTCCACAAATATGAGAACTTTAAATTTTTGGTATTTGGACTGATTAATTTGGAGAGAGAAGGGCCGGTAGCCCAAATCGGAAGAAGCGCCCGATACGACACTGCCCGCCACCGCACTGTTCCCGAGGAGCCTGCAAGCCAACGTGACTCGTGACGTCACCTGTTAAAATAATCCGGGTCACGTGAACCTTCACGTTCGTACAACTTTAACTCTTTTTAACCTACCACCCTCAATTAATAATTGGGGTATTGACTTTTAACATGGTTTAAGATGTCTTTAAGATATCTTAGATTAGTACTAATCAAAAGAAATATATTAGTCCAGGCAATGGTCCTAAAAAAAGGGGTCTCGCCGAAAAGTTTTAAGGGCATATTGTTATTTCGCGTTTCAATATTTTTGATGGTGCTGAACAAGAATCTGATATTCGCTATCTCATTTTTTCCCCGAAAGAATCCGCGAATCCATGAGGGAGGAGGTCTTCATGTTTGAGCAGCCCTTTCTCCAAGTAAATAAACAATTTTTTTTTTTTTCATAGATCCGTATTTATCTCTGTGATAGATCTGAGATAAATACTTAAACAATCATATTTACTATTTAAAATTGTAATGTACATAACAACAACAACTATGAATGTAAACAGGTGTCAAGAAAAAAATATTAAGAAATTATTCTTAAAAACATTATTTTTACCCTAATTTCCGCGTTCTTTAGTAGTCCTTCAATTATCGCTTAAACATTATTTTATATAGTTTATTTACATTTCTCCTCTTATTTCTTTTAACTATCATATTAAAAAAAATGACACCCCCTCTCCCTCCAAAAAGAAAATTATAGCCTGAATCCGCTATTCTGATTTTCAATGAAATGATTATTTTTCACCTACCTAATAAACGAAAAACAATGAGAACAACAATGGTTGTTAAATTTTGTTTAATAATGATTAAAGTAGAATATATCTGTTAAATTTTGAGCCCTAATAGTAAACTCAGATATTCCCGTGACATATTTGTTAGAAAAACAGCATTTTTTTTACCGAAAAACTTTATATCAAGGAAACAAAGATCATCATAAACAACTTCACGGGCGGATGTACGGGGGGGGGGGGCTTTCGGGCTGAAGCTTCCCTCAAAATGGAAAAATATAACCATGTGTTATGGGAAAAAAAAATTAAAAATTCCTCTTAAAGCATTATTGTTCGTGTAATTACATTTAAAAGTACTTAAGGAATAACATAAACACCATTTCATATAGGTAGTTAGTTTCTTTCTGTTTTTCCAAAGTAATTATCGTTATTTTTATGAGAAAAAAAAAAGGTTTCGGGCTGAAGCCCCCCCCCAAAATTAAATCCTGGATCCGCTAGTGAACAACTTTAATTTGAATTTACGGCTGTAAATGATGTCGATTTTTTCTCAAAACATCCCATTTTCGACAAATCGTTAACATCGTTTAAAATATTTTTTATGATGCACTAAACTAAATCTATATGCAAAACACTTGAATGAATGAATAAATAACAATGCCAAGATACTAAAAACAGTGGTGCAGTGGTAAAACACTCTGTGTTCCTGTAGAAAAAAAGAAAGTCGAATCTGATAGTAACAATTGTCTGAGTATTTAAGTGATGAATTATATGTAATACATCATTATGTAAATCATTATGAATAATATGTAATTTTACATAAAAGGTTAGAGGGTATCTGACTGTTTTTGGGACAAATTGGAATAGGAAGGTGGAGGGTTTTAAATGTAGTTAGAGAGGGAAAATGTCGAATTTTGATAGGAAGGAAATTCCAGAAATTAACAGAGCGATCAATAAAGGAGTTTTGGAATGAGCCAGATCTGTAAGAAGGGTCGGCAGATCGAGATCTTGTTGAGAGGGAATGGACTGAGTACTTGAATCGGAGAAGTTTATAGGCGTGAGAAGTACGATGATTGTTGATGATTTAATAAAGGAACGTACCTAGGAAATATTGTCTTCGAATGTAGGTGAAGAGTCACTATAACTCAGTGTAGTGGTGAGAGACATGGGGGTATCTCGAGGCACCAATTACAAATCTTACGCAGCTGTTCATTAACCTTTTCAGTCTGTCACGGGGCTCCACTGAGAGTCCATCATACACCACAGCGGTAGTCAAAGCGGGGGAAGATGAGAGAGGAAACCAGGAATCAACGCGTATGTTGAGGTAGAAGATGGCGGAAGCGATGGAATAGTTCGAGGGTAGAAATTGTCCGTCGGGAGATGTGAGAAATGTGGTGATTCCAGGAGAGGGTTTGATCTAAGAAAAATCCTAAATTTTTGACAGAGAAGGAGATTGGCTGGTCATTAAGGTTTAGTGTGGGAAAGTCAGTATAGGATTTGAGAAGGGGCTTGGAACCGATTACAATGGCCTGAGTTTTGGCAGCAATTAACCTTAATCTGTTTATATTTGCCCAGGCACTGATTTGATCTAGGTCTTCTTGAATCTTGGCAAGTGCTACCAACAACTCAGGGGAGAGGGGGAAGGATAGGTAGATTTGAGAATCGTCTGCATAAAGGCGATGGGAACAATGAAAAAATGAATCATGTAGGTCGTTAATGTAGCAACTGAAAAGGAGAGGAGATATGCTTGATCCCTGGTCAACTCTGGAGAATAAGGAAAGGCAGGCAGATAGCGGTTGATTGGAAAAGGAAACTGCTTGGGTACGTTGTGAGAGGAAACATTGGAACCAAGGGATGGAACTATTGGAGAAGGATAGTGATTTTAGTTTGTTGAAAAGGATGGGATGGTTAATGGAGTCGAATGCTTTGGAGAAATCAAGAAGTATAAGAACAGTTAATTTTTTATCATCTATTGCAGTCTGAATATCACTGGTAATTATAATTAAGGCGGATTGTGTGGAGTAGCTGGGACGGAAACCAGATTGGAGAGGATCAAGTTGGTTGGACTTTTCAAGGAAATTGGGAACTTCGGATTGCGTCAATCTTTCTAGGGATTTTGAGAGATTGGAAAAAATTGAGATCGGGCGGAAATCTTCAAGAAAATAAGGAATCTTCAGGAAACTTTTTATTTAACGGAAGGACAATGCCTTTTTTCCAAGAGGTTGGAAATACTGAATTCTGCAGGAGAAAGTTATAGATGAATAGGAGAACTGAGAGGATTTCAGGGAAACATAATTTTATTAATTTGATTGGGATGCCATCTGGTCCTATGGAATTGGTGTGGGATTTCATAATAGCAGTTAGGAGGTCAATGGGAAAAATGTCGGAGAAATAAAAGTCATCATCATTGAATGATGACTCAGGAGCAAAGTTGGAAGAGGTAGAGGAGACATGAATAAAATGTGAATTTAAATCGTCAGGTGACACGGGAAAGACTATTGAGGAAGGGGATCTGGAAGGTTCACAGAGGGAAAGTTTTCGAAGGATTAACCATTTAGATTTGGGCTTTGGAGCATATGAAAGGGCTTCATGGAAGTAGGTAGCTTTATTTCGCCGAATCCTTGTTTGAGTCAAGATGCGGTGCACCCTAAACGCTGCATAGTCGTCAGCACGCCTAGTACGCCTGAGGCGTTGGCCGCATCACGCATCTTTTGCAAATCCCATAGTTACATTTTTTTCTGACTACTTTACTTTATCCTAGGCTCAGGTTCGATCGTGGGTTGATGAATCAAAATAAATAATCGCATACTATAGCCGGAGTCGAATCTGAGATACAAAGTATAGGAATGTATTGCCTTACTCACTGAATAAACCTACTTCCCTACATCTTACACAGTTAATAAAGTAATTAATTATTTTTTTCTTCAAAATAAATTTTTTAGAATAGTAGGAGTTAATTTCAGTTATAGTTAATAAAAGTGTATATTTCTTCATAATTTATATTTTAATTAAAAAATTCCGATTTTCAGCTTTGGGAAATGTATCGTTTACGTTTCAAAACTATGATATTTTAAATGGCAATTGTTCAAACTGTGATTAGAAATATAGTTTTATCTCTCAAATGTATAAATTATGTTCCAGAATAAAGATCAATTTTCCATTTCATTAATATATATATATATATATATATATATATATATATATATTATGTAATATAAATAGGTATATAATTTATGTAAATAATTCTTTCATGATACTTATAAAAACCTTTTAATTTCTTTATTACCGTTTCTAATGTCCTGTGGTGAACGTTTTAAGTAGCACAGGCGGATCTAGGGAGGGGGGCGGCTTTCGGGCTGAAGTCCCCCCCCAAAACGGTAAAATATAACCATGTTTTACAAAAAAAAATATTTAAAACTATCTCTTAAAATATTCTTGTTCGTGTAATTATATTTAATTGGACTTCAAGAACCACTTAAACACCATTTCATATAGGTAATTAATTTCTTTATTTTTTTTCAAATTAATTATCGTTATATGGATATGAAAAAAAAAACTTTCGGGCTGAAGCCCCCTCCAAAATTAAATCCTGGATCCGCTAGTGTTAAGTAGTACAAAAAAATTAGACAGGTACAACTGTTAAATACCGTTAAAATAATGGAAAATGTGCTTCCTAAAGTTCCCATGATGAGATCACTGTACAGTAGACGGATTCGTTTGTTTTCAATTAATATAGTTGAATACTTAATCATGGGTGATAAATATTCAGGACGCAGTCATTATAATATTTTTTTGGGTGCTGACGTTTCAACCCAAACATGTGGGCCCATCACCCACGATCATCGAGTACTGAAGGTATTCAAGTATTGAGAACTTGAATACCTTCAGTACTCGAAACACGCCCTGATGATGACCCACATGTTTGGGTTGAAACGTCGGCACCAATAAAAACTTTATAATGACTGCGTCCTGAATATTTATTACCCGTGATGTGTAGAACAGTCGATAAACGTCTTTCAATAATTCATTGAATACTTAATAGTTTAATACTATTTATATACAATTACGCGTCGGGAAAATTTCTCAATTCCATTATCTTACACAATTCCAGTCACGTAAGCGTTTCCACTAATATAAATTCATGGAGGTCAGTTATGCAACATTTGTTTTCGTTTTTCATTTACACAATCCTTTACTTAATATAAAGCTGGCAACTATCCATGTACTATAATTTTATCGATTGCGGAATTGGCAAGAAA